TCAGTGCAACATCACTCGCCGTGATGCACTCGGAATTGCATTTGAATTAATTAAAAATCGTCGATGTGATGCGGACACGAATCTTTCAGAGCTCAACGCGAATTTGTCAAATAAACGTTGTGCAGACTCCCCATTGGAACTTCCCAAACAATAAATACGACTGTCTGGTCCAACACAGTGTTCACCCTTTATCGATTCCAGAACAATTGAAAGTTCAACGAAAGGCAACTGAAAAAACCACAAGTGACGTGAACAAAATCGATCAGCAACATCGGCAGCAGGCGCAACAATAACAACTCTCTAGTGCAACTCGAGTACAGAGTGCAATGCCAACAACAATATCAACAACCACGACAACGGCAACAACTGTGGAATGGCAATGGATCGGGAGATTTACATACTCCCGACTGCAGGCGAGGATCCCCATCAGAGGTGACACTATATGGACAAAAGTTTTTCAACAAGATATTGTATGAACAAATGCATAAAATTGTAAAGATAATTGGCAAGTGATGGATATAATGAAATAGTTTAATATAAAATACCATCCTGTTAATGATATAATTCTTATATATCTTTTAAAAAGGTTACAAAAGTATACCTATTTTTCTGAGATTTCTTAGGGTTGTAGACCTTAGGGTCATAGTCTCACTGAAATCTGAAAGATTAGTCTTTCTTTCTAGAATAATATTGAAGATATATTTTGTATTATACCTAGATATGCTATCATAATAAACGAAACCTCTAAAAATATCAAGGTTTTATCAAATATCGAGGTAATTATATTTTATAATCATAATACTCATATACCTTAATAAAGTCTAAAATTCTCATATAGCTAGTATAAGTCCTGGTAGTCCTGATGATCGTTTCAGTATTGGTAGTCCTGATGATCGTTTCAGTCAAGTTTTTAAAGAACTTTTCAATATCCAATATCCCAATAAAATGGCCAAATCGGCAACACTGATCCCCAAGCTCCGTGTGATGTTGTTATTGTTGTTTTGGCCCGGTTGGCCACTTAAGTTGACGTTGCGACGCGACTTCCCGATGCGCTGCTTGAGTCCCGCTGCCTGCCGCTGCCCAGAGGCGCATGCCTGGCTCCACCCCCCCTCCAAAAAGGGGGGCTACGGGACAGCAAGGAAGGAGAATGGGGCAGCGAGCTGGGGCAAAAAGTATGACTAAATGCATGCAAGTTATTTAAATGAGACATTTTCAGAGTCCATGGCCAGGCGGCGGCATGTGAACAGCTCCGGATATCGCCACGGCTTTTTGGCTGTCACTTAATTCTCTAACAGAGGGTATTTGGCACTTATAAAGTATTTTGTCAGACATGAATAATCTTAGAATCTCTTTAGAAACTTTAATTCTGCTCTGGTTAAAAGTAAAAAGAATTATACCCAAAGTATAAACACTTTGAACCAATTCTACATTTCGACTCTTCCTTAACAACTTAAGTTTTTAATGTATTAAAATTAAAAAAATGTAAAAATTAAAATGTACATAAGTGCTTAAATATTTTTATTCAGCCAAATGTAGAGCATTTCTTTGTCGGATTTATTAATCCAAACGGCATTAAACTCTACGCATTATCTTGCAGCTGAGACCGGAGCAATGCAAACTATTTATGTACATTTTGCTGTGGCGGCTGTCACTTTTGGGTGGCAGCTTCCACAGTCCCGGTCGCAGTGGCAAGGGGGCTGAGGAGCAGAGGGCCAAGACATCGGCCAGGGCGGGGCTGGTTAGGGTCTGAAAGGCCGTGCTAATTGTGTCGCTAGTGTCAGATTTATGTGGCCCGATCAATCGGTAATATATGCCCGGCGATCGGAACCCCCAAGCGCAGAGCGCTGGTCTCCGGCCCTCGGAGATCTCGAGAGTGGCGGAGTCGGGTATCAAATTATAATTCAATTTACGAATGGACAAGCGACCACCGTGGTGGCCAGCTAAACACATTCCTAAGCAGTTGTCGGCCGGCTAGATTGGCTCATAAATTGTCCAAATTAATTCATAGTGGCACCAATGGCGACACCTACTCGTTGTCACCGTTACACCTCGCCCATCTCCATCCACGATCCTCGGATCTCCCCCTGCCTCCGGACCAGCAACCGGAATGGAAATGGGCAATCGGCATGGGAGAATGTTTACTTGGTTCGTTAGTCATAAATTTATAGGCTTTATTGAAACATCAATTCGGACACCATAGCGGACGACACCCGACCAGTTCAAAGTTACCCGATCCAATTGTGTTCCCCGACATGGAGATGGTGATGGCGATGGCGATGGCGATGGCGATGCTGAAGATGAAGATGCTCTGCTCCAAGGAGATGAGGTGTCTCTGAGTTGGGGGAAAGAAAAAAAACGACATCGCGGTGGTCCATGGTGCGACCAACAGCAGCGCCTCCTCATTTCTCGGCTTTTTGTTTTTATTTATCCCCAACGCCTAGAACAGGTTTGCTCTTCCGTCGGATCGCCGGCTGGCTTTTGCGGATTCCTATTCGAACATTGGGGGACTGGGGACTTGGGATTCCAGCCAATCGCTCGCCGCTTGCGCTGTTAATTTTCAACAATTTTACAGCTAGTTATGCAAATGCCCGACTGTTTCTTTTTCGTTTGGAAAGTCGCTAGCTCGAGGCGGGTATTATGCCGAGCCGATACGGCTGGATGATCTCATGGCAGCAGGCCGAAGAGGCGGGACAATGGCAGCCACTCTCAATGTTGCCAAAGTCAGATTTATGTGACTCGGTATCTGGGTATACCTTTAGCAGATCTGGGGGATTTCGTACTCATAAAGAATTTTTGAAAAATTACCAATGTCGAGATGTGAAAGGTATCAGAGTTAGCAATCATGACTATTGGAAAGTATTAGAATATTTAAATCATAGAAAATATAATAAAATACTTAGATGCAAATAAAGGATATATTTTTCAATTGTTTTATGGCCATTTAATAAATAGAATTACATTTTATTTAAGCTTACCTGTTGATATTAAATGGATATTATTTGTTGTTTTATTTATTAGATCGTTATTATATTGAATTATTATTATTATCCTTTAAACTTTTAAACTGGTTTTAAAGAAACAAAAATATAACCAATTTTCTACATTAAGTTTCCTTCACTTTTACATAAGGTTTGGGTATTGGCTAAGAAAGGATGTCAAGAACGTTCTTACACTTACATGGGTGTAAGTTTTAAGCAATAAATGATTTTTAAGAAATAATTAAGTACATTCCTTATCTGCAAAGATCATTTAAAAATTTAATTTATGATTATAGAATGTTTAAGAATTTTTTCTTTATTTTTAAATTCAAAACGAGTTGCTACACAAATGATTACAAGCATTAAAGGCTGCTGAGCCTTACATCCTAATTGCTCTTTAACAAAACCCAAAAAAAGAAAAGAATATTATTAAACTTCTTATCTGAATATTAAAAATAATCCTTCTCCCAGCAGGGCCATAAATTTGTGGTAATAAAAACACATATTCCAAAAAAAAATGTAGAGTAAAATGTAAGCGAGTTGGATTACAGCAGCGGGCTAACAGTATCAGAGTCCTGCGAAGGACTCGCTGGGTGGGGTGGACGGGCATTCCCAAAGGACTTTCGGTATAAACAGATGAAACTCAACAGGTTTAAGCTCAGTCGGCTGTGTGCGCTCCTCGCGTTCAATCGCGGAAATCCGAAGGGAACCGGAAATTAAAGAAAAACCCACACACGGTATCGCGGGACTGGCGGTACATTCCAAGTACTTGTCGCAAATAGATAATTGAATTTTTTTGCCATTGTTTTGTGGGAATTTTAATGTGTGTGGGCCGTTTGCGAAGGCTGGTGGAATAATAAAAATTAAAGAAACTTTTTATGTGCGTGCTGTGCGATTGATTGGAAATGCTCGGCTGATAAAAGAATCCTGCATCCTGATAGACTAGGCACAGGCTACATTAACAACAAAATCATTGCCGAGTAACACGAGCGGTTTTTCCCCAAAAGTTGTAATATCATTTAATTAAGTGGAGTTCGGTTGAATATTCCCTCGTGTGGGCACCATTTGTCAAGCCAATTAAAACTTTAATCAATAAATGTGCTCTTGATAAGTGTGAAAATTAAACCAACAAACGGACACTGCGACAACAAGAACAACAAAGGCCAAAGGATGTGTGTCCACACACACACACACCCAACGACCAGCGGGGACAGGGGTTCCATCGCGTAAATTGTTTACTTTGCCAATACACTGGACAAAAAATGGGGGGTCTCCGCCTTGGGGAGCAATCAAATGTGCTTTCAATTAAACTCAAAGTCCCAACCCCTTTTGCGAGACTCTCGATTCCATTCCCCCTCCAAGCCCCAAAACCTCGAGCCCCCCCCCAACCGCCTAGTGTCCTGTCCCATCCTGTCAACGCTTCGTTGCTTGGCTGCTCATCCATCAAATTTGTCGTCCTGACGTTTGGACTTTCCCCTCTGTTTCTGTGTGTGTGTGTGTGTGTGGAGCGAGAATTGGGACAGGGGCACTGGGGGGGGGGCTTGTTTGGAGTAGGGGGCGTGGTCCGGCCACCCATATGTGCTTATCTTCCATTCTTTGCAATTATTCTACGCGCCCTCATCATTACGGCCCCATTGAAACTCAACAAGTGTCGCAAGGAGTGAAACCATCAGATACAAATTGAACAGTCACAGATACAGATACAGATACAGTCTGCAATTGCAGCTCTAGCACTGAGAGAAAAATATGTTTAATATTTATATTTCTTTTCAATATAATGCATTAAATGTTACTTTTATACTTTATATTCTATTTTAAATGTTTCTTTCTTAGGAAAAATTTTAAAAGGGTTTTTGAAGTTTTAACAATTTTTATAAACGATCTAAAAAGATCCTCACCATTTCAAAACCTTTTTAAAAAATATTTCTAAAGTAAGCATTATTTTTATGACTGATTTTTCGTTGACTTTTTTGTTATGTTGTGACCGATTTGTTGCCCTATCTTTATCCCATGAAGCATTAGTGTTTATGAGGCGCTGGCACTCTGTATGCTCGCCTGAACAATCAGCAATATGCTAAATGGAAAAGCGCACAAGTCCGGAGAAAATCCTGAACCTTGCCCGGCGGGTGGCAGTGGGGTGGGTGGCGAAAGCGGTAGCGGGAGTGGCAGAAGGTCCGCCGCTTGCGTTAAGATCGACATTAGCACTTGCCAATCGAATCATCCGATGAACGTGGTAATGGGCCCCGAGAAGCTTAACCCAACGGGTGGGGGCGCCGGCGGAGGACTCCTGGTAGTGCCCACACATCACAATCTGCAGCTCGATAAAATTTCCGTGCGCTCGATTAGTTCCGAGGATATATCGAGTGGCGGGAATGGAAAATGCTGCAGTGCCGCTGCCCGTAATCCGGCCATAAAAACGGGACGGCGCCTGCAACTGATGCAGGTGAGTGTTTTTGGCTTTTTTGGGAGGTTGGGGGCTGGGAGGGATGCTGGAGGAGGAACAGGTGCGAAAAACACACTTATCTAGAGCAGCATAAATTAGCGAAGGCACATGCATCTTAATTAGTCCGACTGGTCAGAGTCACGTGCCACAAGGAGTCCCATAGAATGAGTCTAATGAATGCCGCGATTAGCGGTCCACGATAAAGACTAATCACGCCTTCTCTGCCTTTTTGGTTTGTCTCTGACTTTGTTGTATTAGACTTTCTTTGAGCTTGCAACCAGCTCCTGATAGAGGCCAGATAGGTCTGGGCTCTGGGTTGAACACATATTGGTGACAAATGAAAATAGATGGCACCGTGGGGCAAGAGGGGTTAAAGAAGCATGTTAGATGAAAAAAAATGAAATATTATTAAATACAGGTTCAAATATCTCCCTTCAAAGATAAGCTAATTGTTTCTATAACATTACATAGATGTATTCCAATATTAAAGTCTGAAAAAACCAGCATTTATTTGAAAATTTATGTTAAACTTTTTAAAAACATGATCCTTCAATACCACAAGACACTGTCGGCAAGAGTTTGCTCTCATTGACATGCGAATCCATTTGCAGATGATAATTCTACCATTTATACCAATATTGGCGTTGATTGTGCAAACATCGGTGTCACTGCAAGAGATCCTGGAGTACCGTTCCGCCGTGGCAGACATTGAGACCCAGGTAAGTGAGAGACAGGACGATGAAAAGAAGTAAACAATGCGAAGGTGACCCAACTGTGTGTCCTTTTTGAGGCGTAATTAAAATTTATAGCTGAAATTCAATCATACGTCAAGTAGATGCTGGCGGGAGGGTCCTGTCCGCCGTTGTCTCGGTCAATGTTCACTTGACCATTACGGCGGAGGCAAAGAAACCTCGAAGACCACCCTGCAAATATTTATTTGCCCAGGTAAGTGCCGCCCAAGTCCCCGAGAAGGGTTCCGGAGCACGAGCTCTGGCTCGTGGCTGGTGGCTGGCACTCAGCAGTGTCCTTGGTCCCTGCCCGTGCACCCTCGGCCGCCCACTTCACTCATCCATAATGCAAATGCGTCGTCTTCCGTGGAAAATATGAAAGATAGAATAGGAAATATTGTAAATACTTGTATGTATGATGAGGAACGAGGGAACGAGGGCCGATGGAGCCAAAGTGAATTGATAGGGACGCATTGCCAAGTATGCGGCTAGATGGGCGGCGAGCTGATAGATACTCAGGAACAAGTGGCCGGGCGAAGGGTGGGCAGCGAATAGGGTCACGTACTTAGAATGCAAAACACACTATAAACAAATCAAAGAAAGAAAAGGGAAATGCTTCTATAGAGGAACTTTCCATTTCGAACATAGATGGTGGCCATTCATATCATAAAAGGGTCTGCGACTAAAGGGGCAACTAAACTTGAACTTTTTTAAATCAAACACTGTAAAGCCAATCAAGTAGGAAGCACTAAAGTTCTCAACGCCATTTAAATTACACTTGAAGTAGAGGGAACTGATTAGATTTTTTATGAAACTATAATTAAAAGTTTAATAATAGTGATAGAACCGAAATTGTTGGGGATACACACTGACATTATAATAAAATGTCAAAATATATTATATTCTTTGAATTCCAAGCACACATCACATTTATTATTTTCAAGAGTTAGCTTTACAGAGGTACTTGAACCTCATGGAAGGCTTCGGGGTTGAGACACAACTGGGTCTTGAACTGGACCGGCTCCGTCTGGCAGATGTGGGGAGCCCACTGGGTGCAGTTCTTTACGGCCAGGCGGTGATCTTCCACGACCAGTTGTCCTGTAGAGGTGGAGTAATTGGCCAGCAAAGTCAGGCAATCACCGCTGGCAGGAGTGGGCTGACCTACCGCCCAGGGCAGATAGAGAGCCCTATCCCCGGTGCTCTGCCAGAAGTAATCAATTAGGGTCGATACTTCGCCCAATTTGTTTCCAGCTGTCCAGAACTCCAGTTGGTAAGGCGCCGCCACCGGCAGCCACTCATTGATGGCCTTCAATTCGGTTTGGTTCTTGATGCTCAACAGTCCGGCGTTGATGGACCGGCAATGACGATCCGATTCGTACCAGCTCTTCCAGGAACTATCGGCGAGAAGGCATTTATCAGCCACACGGGTAAAGTTGACGGGGCAGGCGGAGAATGTCTCCTGGCTGGCAGCCTGATAAAGTTGGCAAAGAGCCAAGCTGACCAAGGCAAAACAGACTAACTTGGGCCACAACATTTTGGTTAACTGACCGACAGGTGGGCAACAATGTCTTTTATACACCCACCCAGCCTGCCAGGTCTCTGATAAGACTACCTGTCTGATAAGAGTTCGGGGAATATTAAGTATACGCCTAGTTTTCGTTATCTTTGCGCTATCAAAAAAGCAGCTGAATCCCTCACAGAGATCGTTTGGCCGCTTGGCTTCAAAAGATTACTCATCAGAGTCCCCCCTGCCATGTTAGGGAATCCCAAAATGAAACCATAATCTTAATTATACTATTTTTAATACCTAAAGGAATTCCCTCAAAATTAAAATTACTTAAGTAACCGATAAGGAATGCCAATAATTTTAGCCAAATATCAGTAATAAAGCCTTGATGTAATTAAAGCGAAAAGTTCTCTACTCTATTTAAATTACTTTTGAAGTACAGTGATTAGATTATTTAAGAAACTATAATTAAAAGCTTAATTAAACAGAAAATAATAGTGCTTGAACCGTAATTGATAAGGTTTTTGGAAAAATAATAGTTTTCTGAGTGAAATCGAAACCAATTGTTGGAGTAACACTCACTGTCATTATGATAAAATAATAAAATATATTATTTTATTTGAATTCTTAGCTCACGTCATATTTATTATTCAGAATGGGTAGATTTACAGAGGTACTTGAACCTCGTGAAAGGCATAAGGGTTGAGGCACAACTGGGTCTTGAACTGGACCAGGTCCGTCTGGCAGATGTGGGGAGCCCACTGAGTGCAGTTTCTTACCATCAGGCGGTGATCTTCCGTAGACATGGAGTAATTGGCCAGCAAAGTCAGGCAATCACCGCTGGCAGGAGTGGGCTGACCTACCGCCCAGGGCAGATAGAGAGCCCTATCCCCAGTGCTCTGCCAGAAGTAATCGATGAGGGCCGAGACTTGGCCCAACTTGTTTCCAGCAGTCCAGAACTCCATTTGGTACGGAGCCGACACTGGTAGCCACTCATTGATGGCCTTCAGTTCGGTCTGGTTCTTGATGCTGAGAAGTCCTGCGTTGATGGAGCGGCAATGACGATCCGATTCGTACCAATTTTTCCAGGAACTATCGGCGAGAAGGCATTTGTCCGCCACACGGGTAAAGTTGATGGGGCAGGAGGAGAAAGTCTCCTCGCTGGCACCCTGATAAGGTTGGCAAAAAGCCAAGATGACCAAGGCGAAACAGACTAACTTGGAACACATAATTTTGGCTAGCTGACCGATAGGTATAGGCTCAATAGGGTCTTATATACGGCCACCCAGCCTGCCAGGTTTCTGATAAGACAGGTCTGCTAGGACTGATAAGGTTTCTGGGAATATTAAGTATACGCCTAGTTAACGATATCATTGCGCTATCAAAAAAGCAGCTGAATCCCTTACAAAGATCACTTGGCCGATCGTTCTCGAAAGATTACTGATCAGAGCTCCCCCAGCTATCTTCGGGAATCCCAAAATGAAACCATAATCCTAATCAAAGTTATAATTATTAAGTAACCGATGAGGAATGCCAATTATTTTAGCCATATATCAGTATTAAAGCCTTTGTATATTTTCGTTTGTGACTTTGTCTTTATGTAAACATATATTAAGATATTAAGGTATTGTTTTATTGTTTTTATTTATTTTTACAGGTAACAATTGCCACGGACTTGGGAAAAGTAGTAACCCGCCTTCAGCTGGAACGGTCTGAGGTGGCCTTCTATATTTTCACCAACGGGAGCAAGGAGCGGTTAGTATTCATCCTGATATACACTTTTGCCTGATTCTTGATGTCCCTGGAACAGAAACAACCTGACACAGCGTTTTACAAACACGGATCATGCTCTCAACAACATGACAACCTGGAATGAGATCAGCGTGCCAACGGCTCCCGACGAGGATGAAGACGATCGGGAGATGATGCTGACCCGGACAGACTTTCAGAGCAGGCTGTCAGATTTTCGTAATCGTGTGCGCTTGGAGCCAGAAGAGAGCTCCATCACCGAGGTCATGAACTGGTACACGTCCATCAATAGAGGATTACTGCACCATCTAAACGAGCAAATCAAGGAAACGGACAACAGTGGTGTTTGGCGGTGAGTTCCTGTTCTAGGATAGCACTCATAATATTATATATTATCTCTCTACCATCAGCTATCTAGTAGGTTTTAAGAACCTTTTGAAAAGCATAGAGTGCCAGAACATAGCCACATCCTTCGGCATTCGTTACTATGGCAGAGGATCCCTAACGGCCGAGAATTTCGTGTCCTACGTACGTTATGAGTTCATGGCCCGGGAAATGATCAACTCCACTTTGAACTACGCTCCCATGCTGAAGGAAATGTACACAAACATCACCTGCACCAAGAAATTTCATCGTGCCAAGCAAATGTGGGTATTTTCAGTTCTGACCTATTGGTTTTGAGTCTGATCCTAATTCTTACTCTCCGCAGGGGCGCCACGCTGCTCAAGAATAGTCCCAATGTTTCCAATGAACGCAGTGCCATCGAGTACTACGATCTAATGAATAACTATACTGATGATCTCCGAATCTTGCAAAAGGCCTTAAGACGACAGATCAAGTGAGTCTATAAGGGATTGGAGTTAAATATTTCGAAGTTATTTTTTAAATTTCAGGGAATATGTGGACTCTACTTTGGCAGAGGCTGACCGCAAGGAGGCCATTGGAATAGCCATTCTTGTCGTGGTGCTCCTGGTGTCTCCCGTCATCATTGTGCTGGTCAAGAATGCCGCTGCCACAATTCAAGTGAGTATTTTGTCCTGATTATTAAAGGTTTTGAGTTAAAGTAACTCTTCCGTTTAGCTCTACGCCGTCAATCTCTCCCAGAAGGCCAAGGAGCTGAAGCGGGAGAAACGCAAAAGCGACTCCCTTCTCTTCCAAATGCTGCCCCCCAGTGTGGCCATGCAACTGAAGCAAACCCAGAAGGTGAGTGGAAAAGGAGAAGGGGCGTGGGTACGGGCTTTAGCCAGTTCTAATTGACTCCCTGACAGGTGCCCGCCGAGCTCTACGAGGCAGTAACCATCTACTTTAGCGACATTGTCGGCTTCACCGAAATCGCCGCACATTGCACTCCCCTGGAGGTAATTAAAGCATTACACTTAAAGAATTAATAAGAGCCTGGCTATCCTGTAAATTTCTATTCAGGTCGTTACTTTTCTCAATTCCATTTACCGCGTGTTTGACGAACGCATCGAGTGCTATGACGTCTACAAGGTGGAGACCATCGGCGACTCCTACATGGTGGCCTCCGGTCTGCCGGTGAAGAACGGTAATTTATGCAAATTCGGCTGTCATTCTGTCAGTCAGTCGACAGTTTGGCCCCAAAAAAGATTTGCGCTAATTTAACTTTCATTTGTGGCCATGCGCCGTAATTTTAATTTATGCCGCCCCCAAAACCACATACCTCCCACCTTCTGGCGCTGCCCAGGGAACAAGCACATCAGCGAGATAGCAACAATGGCGCTTGATTTGCTGGACGCCTCGTCGGTGTTCCGGATCCCGAGGGCAGGCGATGAGTTCGTTCAGATCCGGTGCGGCGTGCACACAGGACCGGTGGTGGCCGGGATCGTGGGCACCAAGATGCCGCGCTACTGCCTCTTTGGCGACACGGTGAACACGGCCTCGCGTATGGAGAGTACCGGCGAGGCCCAGAAGATACATATCACCGAGGAGATGCACGACTCCCTGCAGCAAGTGGGCGGCTTCCGGACGGAGCACCGAGGTCTCATCGACGTCAAGGTGGGTCTAATCCATTAAATGAACTAAACTCTATAACCTCCATGGCTTATAACAGGGCAAGGGCTTGATGAGCACCTACTGGCTGACCTGCAAAGATGGGCCAGTGAGGGCTCGGGAGGAGATCTCATGGCGGGCGGATATGCAGCCAGTTTTTTTGGACCATCTAAAGCTGCATCCGCCAGTGGACTACAAGCTGCCGAAAAGGAAATGACTGGCCAATTCGGCAGGATATTGATCTATCAATATTACCCTTAAATCTGTCACCAAGCATTCAAAAACATACGGCTATTGAGCTCTTTAGATGTGCGTGTGTTGGTGTTTCTCCGTCTCTGTATCTCTTAGTGTGTCCTTGTTCACTCTTTGTCCCGGTCCCCATTCTTAAAAGCTTCAACGCCCAGGCGTCTAAATGTAATTGCAATGTGAATAATAATAGCATGAGAAAGCCAAAATACAAATATACGTAAATTAACAAATCAGTTTCATCATAAGCTTTTTGAGCATTCAAAAATATTCAACGAGAAAATAACAGTCTCTTTTTAGCGCCACATTTTCGATATTTTGGGCTATCGACTTATCGATAGCCCGCCAGCTGAAGGTATGACTCCTCTGACAAAAGCTAGTTGCTTTGAAACGAAGTGAATTCGAATGAGCGAGTGTGTGTGCGTGTGGGAAGTTTCAGAGAAAGAACAAAGTAAAAATTTTAAGTTGCTATTGCTCCAGCTGCTGCTAATTTAGGCGATTAGAAAAAATAAGGAATTCGTAGCCATGGCCAAGGTTATTTCCCAGGACACCTTCGACGATGTGGTCAAGGAGAATGTGGTGGAGTTCTCCATGACGCCATCGGAGGCCAAGGAGGAGACCATCAAACAGTTCGAGGCCCAGGTGAGTGGGAATTGCGTTTTCCACACCAATGATTCACAAAATGAATGTTTTGTAGGGCATCAACCTGGCCAACATCATCAAGGACCTGTCCATAAATCCAGAATCGGGAAAACCGGTCATTAACGAAACAGTTGATCAGATTAAGGAGCACATTGGCCAAAAGACTGAAGACACTGCCCAGCTGCTGGAGCAATTGGCCACCCTAGATGCGGAATGCGCCAAATCGCTGGCGCATCGGGTTCTGGCCGGAAAGAACGGAGCCCACGATTCCCTGATTACTCTCCTCGAACAGACACTCTCCTCCGATTCGCCAAACGAAGAGTTAACCAGGAAGTGCCTGGAGGCGGTCAACAGTCTGACCAACAAACAACCGGATTTGTTTGATGCGGAGGCAATGGCCGTAGTCCTCAAGCTATTATCCTTGGAGCAGAGTACTACGGGAAGGGAAGAGATTACTCTGCTCACGCTTCAATGGCTTCAAAAGGCCTGCATTATGCACGAAATGAACCGCCAGAACATCATGAACACACCAGCCTTAAAATTAATGAAGCCGTTGCTTGGCAAAGACAAGCCGCGCCTGGTGCGTGAGCTCACCGCTGTGTTCCGATTCCTGGTGTTGGACGACGATATTCGTGTGGAGTTTGGCTGCGCCCACGAACACGCCCGTCAAATAGCCAACGAGGTCTTGCTTCCTTTGGTGGAGTTGCTTCCCGCGTACCAGGATCCCAACGTACTGGCCGATCTACTCCTCACCATTGGGACCTTGGCAGTGCGCCAAGAACTTTGTACAGCCATCGACGAGGCTGGCGGTCTGAAGATCGTCTTCGAGATTATGAGCAGCAACCTCGGCGAAGTTCGTTTGAATCGAGAGGGTCTAAAGCTGCTGCGGGCACTGGCTGGCCACGACTCGGTGAAGGCGCACATTGTGCAGCAGGGAGTGGCTCCCATCGTAAAGCAGCTGCTGGAAACGCACCAAAACAACGAAAACATCGTGGCCGCTGCATTAGCTTGTGTTACCACGCTGACCCTTCGAGTGAAGGAGCACAGTGCTGCGTTCTTCGAGACTGGCATCGCCGAGGTGATAGTGGAGGCACTTCGCGCCCATCCGAAACACAAAATCGTCCAAAGAAACGGGGCCTGGGCCATCCGCAACATGGTGTCACGGTCGCGCAATCAGTGCGAGACCTGGATATCCTATGGCGTCGAAGACCTGCTAAACGCCGCCATGACGGAGCACCCCAGTGTGGAACAAGACATCAAAGCGGCGTTGCGCGACCTGGGATGCAATGTCCACTTGCGCGAGGAATGGACGGGCAAAGCAGAAAAGAAGATCGCCGCCTGATTTTGGACTTCCTGTTTCTCATTTTTGTATTTAATTCTAACTTATTAATTCAAAACCATGCATTGGCTACGTAACAAAATAGCATCCCAATCTAATTCCTGAACACAGGCAGTCTTTATAGTTCACATGACTTATTTGCCCAGCTTGAAGTTGCGAAGGGATCCGGCCTTTAGCCGCTGGTTGACATTCCGGGCAAGTGGTGCCGTGGATCGGCAATTCTCCAATTCCTCAGCGCGCTGCGCAAACGGATCCACCTTCTCTGAGCCTCCCATTCCGTTGAAAACGAAGTTGGAGCTCGATGTGGCCGCCAGTCCACTACTGCTGGGTAGCAGCAGTCGTGGTTTCTTGAAAATGGAGTACTACAAAGAATTTGTATTAGGTTTTAGCTTTCTTATTTCTTGCAGCCTTACCTTTTCGCTAAGGTCACTGGTCGTCTTGCGTATAGTTCCACTGGCCATGTTGGCACCAGTCGCCGCCTTGATTGGAGATATTTTGGTTTTTGTTAAACCGATATTACCCTTGGTGTTGAGTAAATGGGCTAGTCCCACGCTGCTGGACTTGATATTCAGATAAGGCGAAGTCGACTCTTCTATGCGCTTGATGTTCTCCTTCTGCAATATAGAGCGGGAATATTAATTCCAAGAGATTTTCACCCTAGGACCCTAGGACTTACAATTGTGGGGGAGATGGTGTCGCGTCTTTCTTCTTTTTTTAAAAACATGAGATTGCTTTTGGTAGGCGAATCCACAGGAGTCCAGTTCTTCGCAGATTGAAGCTGTTTTTGAAAACAATTATGAAAGTGGCAATAAAAAGAACATTGTGCTAACAAACCTTCTCCTGTGCCTGGTAAAGATCGCTTTCCAGTTGCGAAACCCTCTCCTCGAGCTTGCTGGAAAATAAGAATCATGGGTTTCTGAACAATTTTGAATCTCACTCTTCTCACCGTTTCACTTCGATCTCTTTGCGCAGATCATTTTGGACCACTGTGAGTACATTCCTCATGTCAGTCTTCTTGCTCTCGCACTGGCGCAACTCGCGCTTTAGTGTGGTGACCCAGTTGGCCAGCACTTGGGGATTAGACTCATTTTTTAGAAGGCGTTCGGTGTCTGCCGATCCAGCGGCAAGAATGGCTGACATGCTCTCGACGGAATGAAGTAGTTGCTTCAGCGATTTGTTTTCCTTACGCAAAGCATCCACCACCAGAGCCTCATTCTTCAGGATGTGGATCTGCTCCACGTAACTGCTGATCAAAAAGTCCTTCTTCTGGACCTTTTGTTCCAACCCAGCTATAGTTTTCCTGCAATGCAGACGTTTAGTATTTATGGAAAAATAATCAAAGATTCCTAACTTACAGGCACTTCTTTTGGGTCTCTTTCTGGTCACGCATTTGCTGCTCCAGTTTGCCGGACTCCCTTTCCTTCATCTTCAGTGCCAGATTGGCATTATCCAGCTGTTCCTGAAGAGACCCCACATCGATGCGGCTCACATCCAAGTTGGCCAAATTAAAGTAGACCCGAAAGATGTTGCGCGTGGTGCACTTATTGCGGCACTGGGGACAGGTTTTGGAGCTGCCAATAAATATGATTTTTCCTTATTCCAAGACCCCATCCTGTCAACAAAAACAAATTCTTTACCGATCGAGCCATTGGTTGAGGCAATTGTGGTGGAACATGTGGCCACAAACGGTGACGAACACCTCGTCCGCCTGGGAAAACAGTTCGGCGCATATCACGCAGTTTAAGTTTAACATATTCGAAACAATAAATAATCTACATAAAAACAGTTATAAAATCCAGATATTCGGCGCGCCGCAAAGAATTCGACAACTCATTAGGGATGAGTCTTAATTTCAAACATTTGTTTATATCGATATATCGGCAGCGTCACGATTACCATACCAGTTTACGCGCCCATGACAATCAGCTGATAGTATTCTAATTCCCCACACTTGCCATAAATTCAATTCACCTCGATAACGTAGGTAATCGATGTCTTAGCTTTTATTTATTAGCCAAAAAGAATATATATATTTTAAGGAAGAATTAAGCTTGTATATACATTTTATAAACACTTTTAAAGCAATTAATAGACATAATTATTTAAATTTAATTATTGTATTTGTTGTAATAACTGACGAAAAATCTTGTTTGAAAGCCCCACGGAAAGCACGCCATCATCGATAGCGCCATCGGTGCCACCGCTAATACAACATCTCAAAAGTCGTCAAATAGGAATAATAAATAGGAATAGTTTTAGATTTGTGTGCATTTAATTTTTCTTTGTTTGTTCTATTAAAGTTCTGTACAAAAGTTAACCATTAGTTACCTGCTAGAACGGCGCCAGAACGGTGAAAAGCACAAGGTGGCAATTCAGCTTGCGCATTTCGCATTTCGACACCTTTGTCAACGCGATTGAACTTACACACACTCGGACAGTGGGAGAACGGAAAGAACAGACGGCGGAAGAGTGTGAAAAAGAGGCAAACAAACAACCGTGCGATAACAACAACAATAGCCAGCGAGCCCCAGCGCCTCCAGCAAATGGAAATGGCCAACATGATCGGCAACAACCACAGCGGGGGCAACAAGAGCAGTGGCGTCGGCGGCCCCAACTACAACAACAGTTACAACAGCGTGGCTGACAGTGGACACAGCAGCACCACCGGAGGTGGCGCCGATACTCCACGGCTCCGCGACATTCTGAATGTTGGCGGCGGATACCAGATTCCAGCAGGTGGCTGCGCCTACGACCTCATCATCGAGCTGATGCGAGGCCTCGACATCCAGGACGACGGAATCGTGCTGAACTCCAAGATCAAGACCATTGAGACTGACTTCTGCAACATTGTGCGCGACGAGTCGATGCTGTGGTATGTGTCCCCATGTTTGTGTGACTGTTCGTGTATGGGCCATTGATGATTAATAATGTTATAAGTAGTATGTATGTTTGCCACCTCTTTTCGCGTATAAATACTCGCAGTCTATACAGCGAGCGCCAAAACAGTAAGGCAGGAAGCGGGTGAAAGCGTTCTCGATAGTCCAAATGGACTAGGAGGTCAACCAGGGCGGTATTCTTCTCAAGATCTCCTGCGCCAGGTCCCAGAATGAATTCATAAACGAGGCTTAATGTTTACTCTTTCAAGAAGATCGAGATTAAATTGAATATTGTCTTCAATTAATACTCTTATCTACTTCCATGACACTTCACACATGGGCGAAGGAGCCATAATATGCCTACTAGGCAATTTTATTTCTCGATTTGTCTCAATTTTTGTTCTCAGACATAATGTTTATACAAAGCAACCCATCAAGGCCTATTAGGAATAATAATAACAACTTGACAGTTTCGAAACGCACTGTAGTTGTAAATATGTGGTAGACCAGGTCGCTTGGACGTCAGCGTGTCTTAAAAATTTACAGCTTTTCATATAAATAATCACGGTGCGAGACTGTCGCCATCGAAGCAGTTCAAAGTGAACACTTTTCCCACCCATTGCCTCCGGCTCATGCTTCCAGTTAATTGCCGAGTAAATAAATTCGAGACTTGGGCTTATCAGATAACACTGCTCCGTACCTGCGAAAGCATATAAATAGAAAAACCAGCATGCTCCTGTTACCCGATTCGGTTCTATAGCTCACTCTCTTTGTTTACAGCGAATCCATGGAGTACCTGAACGACAAGGCGCTCGGAGACAGCGACACGGCGCTAAAGTTCGCCCTGCTCTTCTCATCCCGTAACTTCGATGCGCTGGCGATGAAGGACACCAAGGTGCGCAGCGCCATGCTGAAGATCCTCGAGACAAATTTCCTGAATGCAGATGCGTACCGGACGCACGACAAGAACCGGCTGTACAACTCCATAACGCTGCTGGGCGAGTACTACCACCGGGTCCGGCTGGCAGACAATGCTCCAATCACGATCCTAGGGGTGTCCCTGCTGGACCTGCTCACCCGGGAGCTTACGGACGTCAATGTTGTGGTGAACGCCCGTCTGGCGCGCCTCGTCCTTTCCCAGATCTCGCTGAACGGAGAGATCATGCGCACGCGCCACAAGGCTGAGATCGACCAGCTGCTGTTCCACGTCCGTCGCCACCTGATTATGCAGCCTGCGCTAACCGCCAAGGTGAAGGCCATGTTCGTTATGGTGCTGGACCTGTTCTACAGCCACTTCAAACACATCGGCAACGAGCTGGAGGCCATGTACACCACCTATCTGGTGGTTGAAGAGGGGGAGGATGACGCAGTCAACAATAACGGATCGGGACCCATGCATCCGAAGGACGACAATCACCCGCTACAGCATCAACAGTCTGAGAACGGGAGCAGCGCCAATACTTCTGGCCAAGACCCGGACACTTTCGATCCGCCGCCGACGACAAAGAAGTGGAGCGAGCAAGTCTGCGAGGACTCCTTCTGCGACATCGGCTACGGCGAGGTGGAGCCAAGCGAGGAGCGCTACTCGGATGCAGCCCCACAGCCATATCCTGCCAGCAGCACGGGCCCTCATCGCCACGGACGCCGCAACTATCAGCCGCGCCAGGCCCCGAGACCGTTGAAGACTCAGCAGCCGGCCAGCATAGACACAAACTCCGACCAGTATCCATCCATGGCCAGCAGCGAGGATCGCGACGAGAGCAAGCCGCTGCCGAGCTGGCGAAAGACGCGCTTCAACCGCAACCACGACGGTGACAGCAACGGCCGTTCCCGCGACCAGCAAAGGCGCTACAGCGCGAGCTTCGAGGACGACCATCACAGCGTGAGGAGCGAGGGCACCGGCAACTTGCGGCTCTACAGCATTCACGACCGAAGGAAACACTCCCAGGAGCGGCACGAGCGCAACATGAGCGGAGGGGGGAACTACAACAGCATAGTCAACTCCAACTGGGACCAGCGCGACAGGGACGACCGCAGCGAGCGCTCCTACATCAGTAACTACGAGCGTGGCAACACCTATAAGCGGGGCGGCCGCTTCCAGAACCGCAACACCTACGACAAGCCGCCGCGCTTCCAGAAACAGCAGCAGCAGCAGCAGCAACAAGGTCAGGTTCAGCATCAGCCACAGACTGGCCCAGGCCAGAAGATTCATAGCGATACCTGGCGGCGCTCCAATACGGCCATTAACAGTGGCTACCAGGACGAAAACTGTGCCTACAACTCCAACGGGCCAGAGTCCAATAGCCGCAGCTCCTCCAGGGCTCGCACCCTTCCACGCCCTTCCAAGATGGACAAGTCTGGCGGATATCGGTACAACCAGAGTCCCACACGAGGGGGAGGCGGAGGAGGAGGTGGTCCAAGGTTCCCCCGATACAGCAGCCAGAGCAGCTTGGCCAGTGAGGCGTCCAGCACGTTCGACCGCCGTCAGCAGACCTCGCCGCAGCATCCGCACCAGCGACACCGCCACTTCACGCGCCGATCGCAGCCCGACATCCATCAGCCACAGAACGAGGACAAAAACTGGCAGGGTGGACAGGGTGTCGGTCAGGGCGATCAGCAGGCGGCTGGCAAGGAGGAGAGCGAGCTGGTGCGCAACGCCCAGCAGACCACCAAGTACATGAACTACCTGTCCTCGCAGAAATGACCTCCGCACCGCAGCCACCGCCGCCAGGGCAAAAAAGTACATTTGTAAACTAGTTATTACTGTTTGTATGGAGGGAGCCCGGTTCTTCCATAGCTACTCAAAGTGTTTTTCAGTTTTTTCCCCTCATCGCTTCCCAAACAGTTCATCCTCAGATTACAACCCAGGGGACTGTACCACCTCCTGTTCCAGCCAGACCAGAGCTCAAATGTGAAACCAAATCAACAGAAACCAGACTCAACTCAAAACAAGGCTCAATAGCGAAGCATTAGGTCCCATCACACATTGGAATCCGATCACCACTCTGTAAATACCAATCTATATAGTATATAGATGATAACATAGCACTTGCACGGCCCACACAAACATACACACGAATCCATTTTTATATATTTATGTATACAACTGCTTAGGAACTAAGTACAAACTCCAGGAAAATCCTATCGAAGCCTGTTAAATGTTAAATCAAAGTTGAGCATATGAAATTGTATTTTAGCTAAATATATACATATATATTGAATGTCATGTTATAGTGCAGATTCAGATAAAGTTTATTAAACGAATTATACACCCACACAAAGGTATTTTTAAAGAAAATTTTGTGAGGCCCTTTGTTGGAACAACGAAGCCAAGCCAGAGCTCCAGAGAAAGGAATATATTCTAGAGTTATACGCATAGTCACATATTATTACTTAAACCATTGTTTAGAAACTGTCCCGATGTTCACAGCATGCGTAGGATCAAAGCATTAATCTGATTATTCATAGCGTCTAACACATTTTTAAATAAAAAAAAGTATGAAGATCAAAGTGGCTACCAATCCTCTCTTGAAACCCCTACAGATCATCCCAGCTTGGGTACAAAAAACAGACTTCTTTTTGGAAAAGGATGGATTTTATTGAAAAATAGCCGGAATGGGTAATGAAATATCTTTGAACTGAAAAGAAATGGATTACAGGAATGGATTACATCGATATACCCTCCAAAGTCATGGTCTCACCTGGTCTTGAATGATATTTCTGCTAATCTTCATCGAGATCCTCCCACAATATATCTTCGTCCGAGTCTTCTGCGTCAATGCGATCTTTGGAGTCGTAGGAATCATCGTGTCTCTCCTCGGTGGACCAATCTTGTGGTTTACCATACTCATTAGTAGGTTTACCATACTCTTTGGGAGGCGGCTTTGGGGGCTTACGACCCCTACCATATACCTTCATTTTGATGGTCGTGAAGCCGTACCGGACCACATTGCCCGCCTTGATCACCATATCGGCCGACTCGTTGTCCAGGAGGAGCACTACCTGCCGCGACGGCCCGGAGGCCTTCTCCACCTTGACCACCCGCCAGTTGGCAGTTGGAATCTCCGGGTTGCAGAGCTGCAACATTTTAAGTATGATCTCTGGCTCTTCGGGCTTAATGGTGACCCAAGCCCGGGCCTTTGGCGGTGAGACGACCTGCTCCCAGTCAACCGCCACCAGTCGGGCATTGGGGTAAACTTCGCCCAGAGATTCGATCATTCGCTTGTAGATCTCCGCCGATCGGGTGTCTTCACAGACTATGGCCTTGACACAGCCCTGGTGCCATCCAGCGTCCGTGCACATGGGGGGTGGTTCGCCAGAGTCGCCCACGAACTCCAAAAACCGATCCTGCAGCTCGTTCTCCACCAGCCTCCACTTCTCGCGAGGAACATTTCCACTGACAGCATTCCTGTCCTGCACGCCCAGAAGGACCTTGCCCTCGGCCATTTCGATCAATGATCGGTTTTGCATCTCCATCCTGGACCGCTTGGAAGTCGTTGGACCCTCCACCCGCTCCTTTCGTTTGCTGCCCGAAGGCTGGCTGGGAGCGGGAGCCTGAGCCTGAGCTGGTTTTTTGATGTTTTTTTTATGAAATGTCACACCAGCTTTGGCGGGCTCGAAGTCCGGGAGGATCGTCTTGGCCCATTTGATAGCTTCCTGCTCTTCCGGCGAAACCACTTCGTCGGAGGTCCTATTCAAGTCCTGCATCAGAATGTAAGCAGCTCGTCTCTTGTCTTTGTATGATTTTTTGCGGGTTCCAGGCGAAGGTACATCGCCTGGATGGTCGCCCGATTTGTCGTCAATCGCCGTATAGGGCCTCCAGTCTTCGGAGTATGGTGCGGACCTGCTCTCCTCCACGTTTGTTGAGTGATCTGTACCAGATGTCTGGTTCAAGTTGTTACCATTATTATTGTTTGAGTTTTTTCGATTCATTTTGGATCCCACGAGTGCGCAGGAAGGGGTTGGTCGCCCGCCGGCAGAGCCTGCAATGCCGTGGGAAGCCTTTCTGAAACTGGAGGTCGGCCGGTGTCCAGAGTTCGCATGCTGTCGACCGAGCACCCCCTCGGCCACGCATCCATCAGCGCACACAGTACCGCCTTGGATTGGGGTGATTTTCGGAGTTTTCTTCTCCTCGCCCGACTACAATTAGCCAGCGTCCACGGCAGAGACATGACCGTGCCGTGGACCTGTTTCCAGCCGCCCTCGCGAGGAGAGTGTAGTCGCACTTCCGTCGGTGTACACAGTAGCGACGGCGCCGCCCCGCATACCCGACGGCTGACGGCCAAAGGATAGCATGTATCATCAGGTGCTCAACCAATAATCGGAGAGCCCGTCGATTCATCATGCAATGACCTCAGGAGTGAGTCATCAGACGTACTACGTAAACCAAGAACTGATTTCATGCGGATATTTCACTAATAAAATAATAAAAATACATAACTACTAATTAAAAATAATGCATTAAAGTTAAAGGATAGGAATCTAGCTAGGGATATGGTAAAAAAAGGAATATAAACTAAGCTATAGAATCTATCTATTGGAACAAACATAAAGCCACAAGTTAACATTAATACAGAGAATACATAGATACTATATTTAAAGAAAAAACAAAGTAACTTTAACAAAGATTCAATTAAGAATTAATTCTCCATCGAGGAGCATAATAAGTAGAAACAGATCATCGATCGGCTTGTTCGCGGGGAGTCACCACAAGGACCTCATACGTACGGGTGTTCACCTCGAGATGGTTGTGGGCCATGTACAAGACTTTGTGCGAGGGATGCACCTTTCCCAGCTTCTGGATACCTTTGTATAGACCACGTCCGGTATAGGTAACTTCCTGGGTATCACCGTATCCGGATTTTAAAGCATCTTCCGGAAAGCTTCCCGCCTCGCCGGCCACCCATTTGTAATCACAGTCCTTCAGTACAAGCACTTCAACTTCATCGGTAAGGCTTCTAGACTGGCAGCTCCAGGACGCGATAACGGCTTTCTTTTGGGGCACATAGCTGGCCGGGAGTAGCTCGTTTTCTATGTAGACACGAGCTACGTAAGTTGGCTCGCCGTCATCGTCTGTGCCGCATTGTATGGCTCCCTTAGGGGGCAGGTGGGCATCCGTCGGAGCGCCCGGCTCCAGATCCATGGGCACCCACTCGAAGGGTGCATCCGGCAACTGTTCATCGTCGAAATCAGTGCGTTCAGCATAGTTCAGGTAAATTCGGTGAATGCGCGTTCTGTAGCAGTGGGAGCGGCACTGAGGACAGCTAGAGGATGTTCGCAGACAGCGAGTTAGGCAGTTCTTGTGGAAAACATGGCCACAAGCAGCAGTGCTGAAAATCACATCGCTTGCCCGGAAATATATGTTGCAAATCGCACACAAAATATTCAGCTGTGGCGATGATACCGGAGTACCATCCGCGCAGGGAACGTGATCCTCCGAGTTGTGGTCCTCCATGTGAAGGTTATTTACGTGAGTCAACAGCGAAGAGGCGTAGAATTTAGTTTTGTGGCACTGGTATTTCACAAGGGAAGGAAAACAAACCCGGAGAACACGAAATAGTGATGCGCAAACGTCAAATACAACAGTGCACTTAAAAATCGATTATCGATTAATCTGGCGGGAAATCGGTTCGAAATTTTAAAAATGTTTATTGATGGCCAAGGCAATATCTTTGCCAATTCTTATCCGATCCCAGAGCCGAGTACCTTTATCGATTTGTGGAAAGATTCTCCACCAATCTGCATCAAAATCTAGAAACAAAATATTTTTTAGATATTTTGTTAAAATTTTCAGGGGGTCCCCTTCAAAAATGGGGAATTGCATGGGAGGGGCACTATAGCTCACTGCGAAGGCTATATCTTTAACAATTCTTATCCGATCCCAGAGCGGAGTACCTTTATCGATTTGTGGAAAGATTCTCCACCAATCTGCATCAAAATCTAGAAACAAAATATTTTTTAGATTTTTTGTTAAAATTTCCAGGGGGTCCCCTTCAAAAATGGGGAATTGCATGGGAGGGACACTATGGCTCACTGTGAAGGCTATATCTTTAACAATTCTTATCCGATCCCAGAGCGGAGTACCTTTATCGATTTGTGGAAAGATTCTCCACAAATCTGCATCAAAATCTAGAAACAAAATATTTTTAAATTTTTGTTAAAATTTCCAGGGGGTCCCCCTTCAAAAATGGGGAATTGCATGGGAGGGGCACTATAGCTCACTGTGAAGGCTATGTCTTTAACAATTTTTATCCGATCCCAGAGCGGAGTACCTTTATCGATTTGTGGAAAGATTCTCCACCAATCTGCATCAAAATCTAGAAACAAAATATTTTTTAGATTTTTTGTTAAAATTTCCAGGGGGTCCCCTTCAAAAATGGGGAATTGCATGGGAGGGACACTATGGCTCACTGTGAAGGCTATATCTTTAACAATTCTTATCCGATCCCAGAGCGGAGTACCTTTATCGATTTGTGGAAAGATTCTCCACAAATCTGCATCAAAATCCAGAAACAAAATATTTTTTAGATTTTTTGTTAAAATTTCCAGGGGTCCAGTTCAAAAATGGGGAATTGCATGGGAGGGGCACTATAGCTCACTGTGAAGGCTATATCTTTACCAATTCTTTTCCGATTCCAGAGCGGGGTACCTTTATCGATTTGTGGAAAGATTCTTCACCAATCTGCATCAAAATCTAGAAACAAAATATTTTTTAAATTTTTTGTTAAAATTTCCAGGGGGTCCCCTTCAAAAATGGGGAATTGCATGGGAGGGGCACTATAGCTCACTGTGAAGGCTATATCTTTGTCAATTCTTATCCGATCTTAGAGCGGAGTACCTTTATCGATTTGTGGAAAGATTCTCCACAAATCTGCATCAAAATCTAGAAACAAAATATTTTTTAGATTTTTTGTTAAAATTTCCAGGGGGTCCCCTTCAAAAATGGGGAATTGCATGGGAGGGACACTATGGCTCACTGTGAAGGCTATATCTTTAACAATTCTTATCCGATCCCAGAGCGGAGTACCTTTATCGATTTGTGGAAAGATTCTCCACAAATCTGCATCAAAATCTAGAAACAAAATATTTTTTAAATTTTTTGTTAAAATTTCCAGGGGGTCCCCTTCAAAAATGGGGAATTGCATGGGAGGGGCACTATAGCTCACTGCGAAGGCTATATCTTTAACAATTCTTATCCGATCCCAGAGCGGAGTACCTTTATCGATTTGTGGAAAGATTCTCCACAAATCTGCATCAAAATCCAGAAACAAAATATTTTTTAGATTTTTTGTTAAAATTTCCAGGGGTCCAGTTCAAAAATGGGGAATTGCATGGGAGGGGCACTATAGCTCACTGTGAAGGCTATATCTTTACCAATTATTTTCCGATTCCAGAGCGGAGTACCTTTATCGATTTGTGGAAAGATTCTCCACAAATCTGCATCAAAATCTAGAAACAAAATATTTTTTAGATTTTTTGTTAAAATTTCCAGGGGGTCCCCTTCAAAAATGGGGAATTGCATGGGAGGGGCACTATAGCTCACTGTGAAGGCTATATCTTTAACAATTTTTATCCGATCCCAGAGCGGAGTACCTTTATCGATTTGTGGAAAGATTCTCCACCAATCTGCATCAAAATCTAGAAACAAAATATTTTTTAGATTTTTTGTTAAAATTTCCAGGGGGTCCCCTTCAAAAATGGGGAATTGCATGGGAGGGACACTATGGCTCACTGTGAAGGCTATATCTTTAACAATTCTTATCCGATCCCAGAGCGGAGTACCTTTATCGATTTGTGGAAAGATTCTCCACAAATCTGCATCAAAATCTAGAAACAAAATATTTTTTAGATTTTTTGTTAAAATTTCCAGGGGGTCCCCTTCAAAAATGGGGAATTGCATGGGAGGGACACTATGGCTCACTGTGAAGGCTATATCTTTGCCAATTTTTACCCGATCCCAGAGCGGGAAAAATGGGGAATTGCATGGGAGGGGCACTATGGCTCACTGTGAAGGCTATATCTTTACCAATTCTTTTCCGATTCCAGAGCGGAGTACCTTTATCGATTTGTGGAAAGATTCTCCACCAATCTGCATCAAAAGCTAGAAACAAAATATTTTTGTTTCATTCCATATTTTTTCATTCCTATATTTTTGCAAAAATTCCAGGGGGTTCCTTGCCAAAATGGGGAATAGAATGGGAGGGGAACTTTGACCCACTTTCTAGATGATAAGATGAGCAGCTCATGTGAAAAAAGCGTGTCATAAGTAAGTTTTGCTAAAAACTGAAAAACGTACCGACACCCGTATAGGACCCAATTTGAATCGAAGCTTGCCGAAGTGCCGGCGAGAGAAGATGAATGTAAATATAGTACTTAGTAAGTAATTCTCAGTCGCGTGGATCGGAAGAGATGGAAGGCATCATCCCAGCTGGAGACCCGCGAACACTTAACATTCAGTGTAGCGTTTGCAAATCTTTCTTTGCAGTTGACGATGAGATCTATAATATAGGATGCCGCCATTTGTTCCACAAAACCTGTATGGAGCTCCAGCTAACACGATGTGCCCTCTGCCTGCAATGCGGATGGCAATGGAATGGATCGCAGAGAAGGGTTTACCTGTCATTTGGGGAACCCACCAGCTTTACCCAAGGAGATCTGCCTTACAAGTGGGTGCCTATGCAACTAGGACCAAATGTTTCCCTCCGTTCCATATCGCTACCTTCTGGAGTCGTCGAATGTGGCACAGACTGCGAGGGTCACGAGGCATACGTGGCACGGGTCATTAAATGCCGGGAACTACTTCCGGCAAGCTACGTTCCTTTTAAGAAAGCTGCTCTGGCATCGACTGGCGGCATAGCTTATTGGGTTACGGAGGACGTCGAAGTTCTCGTACTGGACGACTGTGATATTGAATGGGTTGCTGCTGACCATGGTAGATATCCACCGCATGCCATCCCAACCGGATTATCTGACACCGGCGAAGTAACCTACACGGGACGTGCCACTTTCCGCAACAGGCTGAGAATTGGAAAAGTGCATCCCTCATATAAGACGATGTTCATTGCCCACAACCACAGGGAACCAAGCATCTCTAAGTATGAGGTTCTGGCAATTACTCCCAGCGAACCCGTGGATCGTTAATCATCCAGGATTTTTTGAATTATTAAACAAATTTCCCAAAATTGATACATCATTATACCTAAATGCGAATCATCTATCCTGATTCATAGATTTTTGTGAAACCCAATCGAAGTTTTTTAAGGGGGGGGGGTAAGGTCAAATCATGCGAAAAAAGCCATGTTTTTTCGATTTTTTTCCTGACGACACAGTTAAAATTTATTTATTCAACAAACGGTATATTAAAGTATGACATTAGAAAAATGTTTTATCAAATTTTTACAAAAAAATATTTAAAAATATGGCAATGGTAGCAATTGTCCTCATAACTCGGTGCTGGATTATGTGAAATCAAAGAATGAAAGTTCATTCGTTAGATAATAGTTCGCAATTTTTTAATTTTTTCGACGACTTTGAAGTGAAAAACACAATTTTTTGGGAAAAAATCGCTTAATTTGTCATTGCGAAATCAAAATTCTGAAAACGTTTATAAGCAACTTCGTCAATAACTAATAACTTCGTCAATTTTGCTTTAATTGACTTGAAATTGACACAATATTCTTCAGATGTTATGCATTCAATTTAAAAAATTAAAAAAAAAAAATGAAAAAAAAAAAATTTAATAAATTAAAAGATGACAAAAATTAAATTAAGAATTATTATATTGTTAACAGATAAAAGCTGTTAATAGCTTTAATTAAAAAGCCACGTCAATGATTTCATAAAAACAACCTTAAACATATACATACATATATTTCTAAATATATGTACAATTTTGTTCTATGCTCTTGAGGTACAATAAATTTGGTAACACATAAAAATAAACCTTCTTAGTTATAGTAAACCTTTGTTAGAATTGTTAAAAACAGATTAAAAAATATTTAGATTAGAGATATTAGATATTTAGATTTACTTAAAATATGGGACCTCGTTTAGTGGTTGTTAGATTCGCGCGGCTTGACCACCAGGACCTCGTAGTTGTCGGTGCTTACTTCTAGGTCGCGGTGCGGCAAATACATTAGAGAATGGGAGGGATGCACCTTACCCAGGCGCAGAATGCCCTCGTAGATGCAACGCCCAGTAAAGGTGGGGTGACCGATTTCGGAGTGGCCGGTTCTTAGGGATTCTACCGGATAACTTCCATTCTGGCCGGGCACCCAACTATGATCACAATTGTTCAGCACCAGGACCTCCACGTCCTGGGTTTGGGCATACGAGCGACATCCATACGATCCGCAAGCGACACCTCTTTCCGGTATGTAACTCGCTGGCAATAAATCACGGTTGAAAGTCATACGTGCCACATAAGCGGGATGTCCGTCCTCGTCGGTTCCACACTGCACAGAACCTTCTATTATTTGGGGAGTATCCTCGTCGTCGTCGTCGCCCAAGTAAATGGGCACCCATTCATAGGGCGGCCTGGGAACCGGGTCGACATTCTCAGGCATACTCGCCGGTGCTGTGAAGTTTAGGGAAACCCTATGGATTTGATCATGGGAGCACTCTGATCGGCACTGGGGGCACGTTCTTGATCTATTCAACCACCGTGTGAGGCAGTTCTTGTGGAAAACATGACCGCAAGTAGTGGAATTGATGACATCATTCTCCTTAAAAAATTCGTTGCATATTGGACACAAAATGTTCAGTGCAGGTGTGTGCTCCGTAGACGCTTGCCCTGGGGTAACTTCCTCTCCTGCCATATCAGCTTGTAGGTCAGTATATCCTTAATCCCTGCAGGCAATTCGCTGTTGCTTCTTTTATAAATTAATTTCACAATAAAGTGAATAATGAGTCAGAACTGTAAACTAAGATTTGTAGATCTAAGATAAATAGAGATGGCAGTTTTAAATATACTGAAAATACCAAAGTCGATGAAAAAGAGTAAAGACTGCCTAACTATAATCATGAAATGTATTTCTGCAATTGTTCATATAAAATTTATTAAAATCGAGTTTATTCTGATAAAAAAAGACCCTGAATTACAAAAAAATAATGTTTGTATTAAGCTTAAGTCATCGAAGAAAGTTATCGATTGGCTAACCGATATGTAAACAACTTGGCAGCTCCGCACGGTACGTGGCTTCGGGACACGGAAAACAATTTACAGGAAAATCTAAAACAAATTATGTGTGTTTCGGTTTAAAAAATTGCATGTCGAGGCCCAGCATCCATCAGATTTTACAAGCAAAGAAGGCTACATGAAGTGTGAGTTCGGTTTCGGGCCAACGGCGCCTTTCTCCAGAAGCTGTGGCCAAAATGCCCAAAATCATAACATCCTTTCACTTTCTAATGAACCATATTCTCGGGGAGAGCTTAATACAGCTGATTTCTTGTTTATTTCGTTAATTAATATCCAAGGCGCCTTTTCTGTTTCTGAATATGGTGCTTAAATGTTCCAAATGGCACCTATTGTGGTGCAGCTTTCGTGTTTGTTTTGGTTTGCTTCGTTTGTATATACAAGTATATATGTACCTGCGTAAATATGTTTGCTACAAATGTACATATGTACATGGACATAGTATTTGCTCTTTGTTTGCCGCTAAAAATAAACACCAAACTATGCGTAATGACAATCCTATTTGTTGTTATATGTCTTCTAGTTTTGTATACGTCAACAAAGCAATATTATATAAACAAAAAATCAGCTGTTCCCAAACAACAACATTTTGGTGAGCGAATGTCGATAACGGTAATTTCGCTTATTTATGAAATTTGAGAATTCTTCTGGGTTAGGCACTCTCTCTTTCTTTGGGTTCTCTCTTTCTCGGAGAGGGGATTGCATCATGCTAGGCTTGGGTTACCAAAGAATCTGTTTAATCCTCAATCCTTCAAGATTTAAGATCTTAAACCCAAAGATTTCAAAGCTTTAAGATTTTCCAAAGGTGTTTGTAATGTCCATTGGGAAGATAGGTTCTGCCCGGTTTCCTGTATCCAGTTTCCTGTATCTGCCCAGTTTCAAGTTTCTCTTCCGGAGAAATTGCCACTCTCTTAGCATGTTTTAATGCCCCACATGGGGTTAGTATTGCATCATGCCAAGCACTCGATTTCATCATGCTGTTTGCCGGGTATAAAAGCACCTCCAGTCGCTTCTTCAGTTTTATTTCATCATTGAGATGCAAGGAAACAAGAACCCACGCCAGAAAACCCAAGCACAACTCAGTCAGATGGGCATAGGATAGGTGGGGCACTTGTCCTTTTGCGGCTTCCTACAATCTTACTCATCCGGGATGCACTTCTCTTCCTGTAATTTCAGAATTCATCTAAAGTCACCCATCCGCATCATTCTCAACCTGCACAATCACACACAGACCCGAAAGGCAATGATTCCAAGGATACAGTGAGGCATCAGACAACAAAGACAATTAGCATAATGAGTAACCTACAGAATGCCCCGAATGGTGGGGGCGTCGGCGTGGGCATTAAAACGGCCCGGAGCAACATCTTCAACGTCGATGGGCTGCCGCAGCAGATGGCGGCGCTTAGCGTGGACTTCTCCAGCATCCGGGGGAAGGATGTCCTGGTGCAGCCCAGTGCCGATCAGTTGGAGCTGCTGCAGAAGCGGCTCCAGGATCGCATTGCCGACAATTGTGGCGAGACCATTTACGAGGTCGGCGTGGGCGAAGGTAAGAAGCCTTTCCTAAGCTGTCCTCCTCCAGCCGATTTAATTCTTGAAATCCTTCTCAGACGGAAGTGACAATGGCCTGAATCCGGAACAGTTTCTCGCCTCCGTGAAGACACTCCATCTTCTGGCCGCCAATATTGATGCCGATGTGGTCAAGCTTCGAGAGCGGAAGGTAGAGAAGGGCATGTCGGCCCAGTTCCTCATAAGGAAACACATTGAAACGACGGACTTTATGGAAATTCGGTAAGGGAACAGAATTATCTTTCAAGCAGTCCAAGCACTGAAAGAATTCCAAATTGTAGAGTGGCCGTGGTGGGCAACGTGGACGCCGGCAAGTCCACTTTGCTGGGCGTTCTTACTCACGGGGAGTTGGACAACGGACGTGGACATGCCCGGCAGCGGCTCTTCAGACACAAGCACGAAATAGAGAGCGGACGCACCAGCTCAGTGGGCAACGACATTCTGGGCTTTGACGGAGTGGGAAACGTGGTCAACAAACCGGACCACGGGCACCTGGACTGGGTGAAGATCTGCGAGAACTCGGCCAAAGTTATAACCTTCATTGATCTGGCTGGTCACGAGCGCTACCTGAAAACTACGGTCTTCGGCATGACAGGCCATGCCCCGGACTTTGGCATGCTAATGGTGGGTCTCATGGTTAGTTTCTTGGGACCTTTTAACCTAATCTTTTGTCCAATATTCCCAACAGATTGGCGCCAATGCTGGCATTATTGGCATGACCAAAGAGCATCTGGGATTGGCCTTGGCCCTGGCAGTTCCCGTTTTTGTGGTGGTCACCAAAATCGACATGTGTCCGGCCAACATTCTGCAGGACAACATGAAGCTCCTCTTCAAGATGCTCAAGTCGCAGGGCTGCCGCAAGGTGCCGGTTGTGGTGCGCACCCAGGACGATGTGGTTCTCAGTGCCACGAATTTTGTGAGTGAGCGGCTATGCCCCATTTTCCAGGTGTCCAACGTCACTGGCGACAACCTGGAATTGCTCAAGATGTTCCTTAATCTGCTGAGCACGCGCATGGCCGGCTCCGAGAGCCAACCGGCTGAGTTCCAGATCGACGACGTGTACTCGGTTCCGGGTGTCGGAACCGTAGTCTCGGGCACCTGTCTACAGGGCACTATACGGCTTAACGACACCCTGATGTTGGGGCCTGATGCCGTGGGTGCATTCGTGCCCATCACTATTAAGAGCATCCACCGGAAGCGGATGAATGTGGCACGCGTGCGTTGCGGCCAAACGGCCAGTTTCGCGCTGAAGAAGATTAAGCGGGCTTATCTGCGAAAGGGCATGGTGATGGTGTCGCCGGAGCTGAAGCCGCAAGCCTGCTGGGAGTTCGAGGGCGAGATTCTGGTACTCCACCACCCGACTACGATATCGGCCCGCTACCAGGCCATGGTGCACTGCGGCAGCATACGGCAGACGGCTTCCATCATACACATGTCGCTGGACTGCCTGCGCACTGGCGACAAGGCCCACGTCAAGTTCCGGTTCATCAAGCAGCCGGAGTACATCCGAGCCGGCCAGCGACTAGTCTTCCGCGAAGGTCGCACCAAGGCCGTGGGCAATATCCTGTGCCCGCTGCCCAATGCCGCAGCGTCACCCTATCGCCCCAAGCCAGCCAAGATGCAGTCTCGCTCCCAGAACGGTGGCAGCAACGGAAGCAACAATCAGCACCGCCAGCAGGGCCAGGGAAGTTCCTCGGGCGTGGGAGCTGGAGGCAGCAAGGACACCGGCGAGGAGAAGCAGAATGGCGGCAGTAGGCGGGGCGGCAAACGGAAACGAAACAATCGCCCACCGGCGGGAGGAGGCGGAGGAACGGGACAGTCCAACGGCTCGGCCGGTCTGGTCCTGCCTCTTGGAGAGATGCCCGCTCCCTCCACCGCCGGATCAGTGGGTCTCACCGAGTGAGGCTCGCCTCCATCACGTTTGTTCTTTCTAGTTGTGTAAGCTAAAGTATTTTTGAAAACCTTAAAGTGAGAAACTATATATTTTGCTACTCGAGTCCGGATTCCTGATCTGCATGGCCGTTTGCCTCAAAATAAACTTTTCCGTGTCCTGTCCTTGTCCACTATACTTTTGATTTTAATTTCTTGAATCAATCGCATGTATGATTTTTAAAAAGATGTCTAAATTATATAAAGTTGTTTTTTTAACTGATTATTCTGATTATTTTGTTATTTAGAATTAAGACCACATGTCACATAATAAAATTATTTGATTTTTTATCTAGATATTACTCGATTTACAATAATAAAACCGATTTCTGGACTTTAAATTGTTGTACTTTAAACTTTCTAGCATCAAAAATTAAATAGATTTGTAATTTAATGCTTCTATGTCAATTTTTATTCATTCCTAAAGTTGACTAAAATTTTGCTTGCCACGTATTTACAATTTCAATGGCGAAGAGGCTCCTAGTTCTTCTTTTTGTTGTTGATCTCCTTCTTGACGCCCTCCAGTTCCTGCCGAACGTTGTTCTTAAACATATTCATAAAGGACCTGAAACAAAATCCAATTTTGGTACCCAAACTATCTAGCAGTGAGTGGATCTACTCACTTGAAGCGCTCTGGTGTCATCTCATGCAGGCCCTGCTCCCTGGCCAAGCTCTTGGTGCGGTACATCAGTGAAACGGCCAACTGGGCCGCCCGTCTTATGGGATAGCTCTCCGACATGCGCTGGATGAGCTGCTCATTGTTGGCCAGATATCGCATCAGGAATCGCAGCACCATCTTGTTTCTCTCCCGATTCTCGCCTAGAACTCGATGTCCTTGTATTTCCGAATGAGCTGCTGCTTGAGCTTCAGCTGGTTGCGTAGCAGTTCCAGTCGCTGCTGCTGCTCCTCCTTGTTGTAATCAATGCCAGGCAACTGCCGTATTTGCTCCCTTGCGGAGTCGAATCGTTTCTGCAGCTCGAAGATCTTCTGATTGCAATCCTGGGACTCGCGCAGCTTCACGGCGTTCTCCAAGGGATCCTTTTCAACGCTGCAATGAATCATAGTTATATAAGGCTCATGCCAAGTGCGCACTTGTTTGTTATTTTCGGCTTTCTCCGATGGGGTGGGTGACCGGAACCTACGTCCGCATCCCCTCCATCCGTCGGAAGAGCACCTGTTACCCACCAACGCACAATGTCGTAGATTATCGGCAATATCTCAATGTCGAGCTGGTCGACTGTCAGTTGGCACTGGCCACCGCCGATGCCGTTGGAGGTCTGCGTCTCCTGCGAGATTGTCGGCTCGAAGGGGGAGTTGGATGTCTGGACCAGTCCGTCGGCAGTTAGGATGGGTTTTCTGTCCTCGATCTGATTGTTTGGCGATAATTCCATCATAAAAAGGCCGAATTTCAATGTTGGCGTCTCAGCAGGGTTGTGGATATTGTATAAATATATCGATATATTTGTATAAAACTCATACAATCGAGTTATCGCTCCTCTAGTGTTGACAAACGTCCCGTTGTGACGTTGGCGGTTAATTTGAAAAATTTAATCGCATTTAAGATAGATGCTAATAAACTAAATTGCACTGCTAATTTAAAAACTTGAAGCTCCATTCACTTTTTATTACGCCTTATAATATTTGCTAAATTTCTCTCTATAACCGCCAGAGATTTTGATCAATGGCCATAAAGAGTATTTTTAAGCTGATGTTGCTAATTTGTGCTGATTAACTGCGCTAATGAAAACCTTAGTTGAAGCTACCAAAAAATGTTAAAAAAAACGTGCACCTATTCTGCAAAAAGAACTCTGCGGTTCATTGTAGAAAATTGCGTCTTTGACTTTCATTGTGGAAAATAAATTAATTTCACTTGGCGACCTCGTTATTGAAGACAATTTAAAAACAATTGAAAAGTATTTTATTCGCCAACCGCCAACCATATTCCCATATATATTCCCGGTCGTATTGCGATCAATTTAGGAAATGTAAAAGAAAGCAAAACGAGAATGGCAATTTTTCAAAAATTCGGATACGGCTTTTATCAATTAAGGCCTCAATTAACACTCAGGATAGATGGCGGGATAAGAACTGGGTTCTTAAGATGTCATGAATGAAATCGGAGGATGTTAATTGATCTGTATTAGGACCACTTGAAGGTTTTCACCATTAATGGAAGGGGTGACAAAAGTTAAAAGCTTCTAGAAAGTCTTAAAGATTACAATTTTTTCTTTCTGAAAAAAATTAGTATACAAAGTCTTCATATTTATAAAATTTACATCATTTTCGTACTAATACCTAAGCTAACAACCGGGATAGATGGGCGGGATTAGATCAGGTTCTTGATTTTTTTGGGAACCAGATCGGTGGAAGGTAATTAGTTGGTGTTGGTACCCAGATGTGGATCTTAACCAGCTGAAGAGCATTATCAGCAGGTGCAGCACTCTTTAATAGTCTCTCTTTGGCGAGAGACTGGGATTTTCAACAACAGCTGTTCTTGTTGATAAATAGCATTCTTTGCTGCCCATGGGGGGAGCAACTGGGTGGTAAATGCAAGTCAGCCCCCCACAACAGAATTTTGCAAGTAAATATATTTCAGCGGAATAGATACTATCCGTATCTGGATACATATACATACTTAAAAATGAAAGGTCGCAACGAAAGTGCGTGCTTTGTTTTTGTTTTATTAAACACACCCGCAACGATGGGGTCTGGCTGCACCTGTATGCGTGTGTGGAAGAGCGCCCCTCGCTCTTTTGGAGCCATGCGACCTATGAGCGGGAGAAAGAGAGAGAGAGCGAGGGAGACAGATGGGGCCCAATGGGGTCCCACGACTAGTGTTGATATTAGCGTATGCTCCACGCTCAATCAGTTTTTATTCAACAGTCGTCGTTAAAAGTTGAGCGTTTAAGTGTAAACTAATCTGGAGCAGACAGAATCACCATAACCCACCAGCAACAACACCAACAACAACAACTACAAACCACAATCTTCGTCAGAAATATTAACACGTTGACATTTTTTAGTGTTTATCGCGAGCGGAAAAGCTTAATTAGTCGAAAGGAAGAGGCAGAAAGTCTTTTTCTTGGGCTGTGCGGGTGCGTGCCAAAAAAATCAAATACGTCATCGACGCGCGCATCGAAAAACCTACGATAATTTTCGATTACCGAAAATATTCAAAAGCAACAACAGCGAATAGATTTCCATTGCGGGAACAAGCTAAAATAGTCCGAGCAACGCCCAACCTGATAATCGGAGGAGGAAACTTGAAATAGTTAATAAAACTATCTGTATCTTTACTAGCTGCTTTTGCTTTGCCATTCACAGCGAAGCGGAGAGCCCACAAAAAAAAAAAGAAGAACGTGCAAAACAGCTGAGCGGAGAGTAACGGACCTCCTCAGCCTCAGTCGTCGTCGGCAGCGAAAACAAAGCAACAAGTGCAGTCAGCAGTATCTGACCCACCAACAACAATAACAACAACAACACTAAGCCCTTTCAATTGAGCGTATGCCAGCGAGAGAGTGTGTAATTTGTGTGTGTGTCCACTCCAATAAACACATTGTTGTTGCCGCAATCAATTAGAGTGATAGCAGTAGCATCAGCATCAGCATCAGCAGCAGCAGACGGAGGAGCAGCTTGTTTTTGTCGCACTCGTACCGTACCCGACGTCTCCGATCTGTGATCCGCGATCCGCGATCCACCATCCGCCCATCCGACCATCCAACCATCCAACGATCCGCGATCCGCCATCTCCGATCCGATCCGATTCTCTTGCCCAGGCGTATTTCTTTTCTTGCCCAAGTGTGTGTCCGTGTGGGGCAGCGCCGTCGGGCTTGATTGGGGCTTGTTGGATTCCGAAACTGTATCTGTAGTTTCCCGCTAACGGCGAAAATTCACACAACTCATTGATATTTTAACCTCGTGTCCGCGTTGGCTGCCGCTCGACCAAGGTTCTGCCGCACAAGATGCTCGTCTCCTTGGGCTTTTCGAAGCCTGGCTTCGTCGGACTAAAAGTGCTCCTCTAACGAGCAGGCCCGCAACGATATCAAGAATTTTTACAAAAAAACTGAACAATAACTGAACCTATTTGAATTGGCCAAATCAGTATCTAAATCCAACTCGAAATTATACAAATCGAAACTCCAAAAAAATTTTAAAAGTGTTTAAAATCAAGTGAATCAAACTCCTATTCTGGCCTTTAATTTGTGAATAATTAGCCCCCCTCGAAAGAAGAAAAAAACCCGTTTCGCGTCGCAGTCGCAGAAACAGAAATTAGGCCCCCATAAAGTGACGATCCAAGATACTGGTACATCTCGGCCCGTTGATATATAACACCCCAACACAACCGCATTCGCAGTCGGATTCGCGATAACACCCATACTAGCCCGCGACTAAAAGCAGAGCGAAAATCGAACTCACGAATCAACTTCACAGTAACGTCTGAAAGTCAGTCCAAGCCAGAGTAATATTGTCGATCGTACGGAATAGTTGTGCCCTCAAGACCGTTAAGAGTCCTAATCAAGAAATTGATCAAGAAAAGCCTATTCAATATCAGTTATCAGTGTGCCTACCTATCAGTGCCTTCGCAGCAAAGTCAGTGTCGAAAAAGTTACATAACCATTGTTGGATTGAAAAAAATCCTATTTTCGGAAGCCCCACAAGTTTCGAGCTAATTGAAATGTCGCATATCTGACAGTGACTCAATAAATACAAAAAATAAAAAAAAGTCCAAAAGCTAAGAACTAGCTAATCGCTAAACTAAAAAAAAACCCACAAAAAAAAAACGTCACAAGAAAACCTACTTACTATCAGCAGCAGGAGGAGTGCAGCAGTCTGTTGCCTGTTATCAGTGAAGGGAAAAAATTCAATTGAAGCGTAAACAACTCCTATATGATGTCCGACGCCATCTGACAGTGTCCACCAAGCAGCCAGCAGCCCAGCTATAGTCGCATAATCCAGTGACCATATAGCCCATAGCCCCAGAAGTCGCAGAGTACAGAGCCAGTTAGAGCTGTACAGTAGAGCCACGTTAAGTTGAAAATTCGTGTGAAGAACGTATCGCATATTGATCAATAAATGGAGAAATCTGAAATACGACTGCAGCGCATGTCAAATGAATATCAGTCGCAATCGAGCTATATGTATTTGCGGACCAAGATGCTGTTAAAAATCGAAAACACCCTACTTCGAAGCCATCGTCAGCGTGAGACCACTGGAATCAAGAAACTATACAATTCGTTTTTCGTATTGTTTTAATTTGCCCCCTTGGCCCCTCGTCGAAGAACCCCGTCGTCCCAAGGCCCCCCTCAAGAACACAAAACGCACAACGCAACAATTCCAATTCCAAAATCACTCCATCAAGTGAGCCAATTTAGAGAAAAAAGTGTAAAAAAAAAAAATAAAGCAAGTTATTAATTATATAATTATATGAATAAACTAGAGATATTTTATAGTGGTTGTTAGTGGAACTCCCGACAAGTGCGTATATTCTTAATCCAAGTACTGTACCAAGCGACGAACAAAACGGCTCACAAGTGTGTCATATTATCAACATTTTGAATTCAAAACAAAATGCCAATCCATATCTAAGTATCCATTCGATTAAAAACGGTTTCTACTTCGAATATTATCATTACAATCGCGTTGTACGCAACTTGATCAAAATTGCTGACGAAAGGTCGGTCGGTCGTGATCTAAAATATATATATCGATAATCTATAATCCGAGCTATATCCTACGAAAGAAAACAAAAAAGTTGTTAGAAACAGAAAGCGAATCTTCCGCCTTCCACTCACCTACCGAATGGCTCTTTCGTTTCTATCCCAAAACTCCGGTCTGTTGGATTTACAAAGTATATTTGATCCACAATATTCACATAATCATCATCAACAACAACAACAACAAAATCAATCAACTTTAAACAACAACCAACATCAACATCACAATCAAGAACTCAATCAGGAACAACAAAATCAACGCTCCAACTCGACAAAGTTTGATTTAAGCCTATTCAACGACTTCGATCAAATGGAATTCAATAACAACTTAAATCGTAATCAATATCAGAGCAATATCAACAATCAGAACAACAACAACAGCAATAACTCTACTAGCGTAAGTTAACTATCTTATCACTAGTTTATAGACCCATTTATAAAGAATAACTATAGATTCTTCAAGTGGTTATGGTATTAGGGCCTTGGGATTTGTAAGACTTTAATATTGAATCCTCTCATCAATCTTTTAGTTCTTGAGGTTATATAGTAGGAGTTCCTTCATGTTGTCTATTTTTGGAGAAATATATTAAGATTTTCGTCCAAGAAACCTTAGAATTCTGGTAGCTTATATTCATTTCTATTATTTGTACAACTGTTTCTGTCTTAAAAAGCAGTTCCCAACACTCCTTACAGATCTCTGAACCTCCCCCAGCCAACTCTGAGGCCTGGAGACAAACATATAAATATATAGTTCAATTGCTAATTATAATATACGGCCTGGGGTATCATATAACTCACATATGAGTGCCTCTAAAGAGAGGAAAAACAATAGAATGCAGTTTAATAAATAGTTGCAAGCGTTACGTCAACAGTTCGACCTACTTACCCACCCCAAGTGGGGTATATCTCACTCTATATATATACTTTTGAACTCTTTCATTTTATATATTTTTGGACATTTTGTTTAAATAAAGAAATATGTATGCACCGGGGCTTCTTTGCCCAGCTCTTGAGGCGCATATCTCTCTGGTTTGTTTACCCATATCGGGCATTTCCAACTTGTCCTTATCGGAGCGAAAATAATGAAACCAAAGCGACTTTTTAATAACAAACACGATTCTCTTGAATTTCTGTCTGTTTGTCCCTACTCTCTCCGTTCTCCGTTCTCCTGAGAGTCGAGATTGGAAGTGACCTTATCAGCAAGGTTCGGACCTACATATAGAATTTAAGCTGGACTCTGGGAGATAATGCTGGGAGGGCATAGCCTCGCTGGCGGCTAGACACGCTGCTCTGGCTGTTTGTGATGAGCTTCCAGCAGTGATTACGGCTTCGAAATTCAATTTTCCAACTAAATACCTCTCTTTAATACCGAAATCCCTCTCCCGATTCCGATTTTTCAGATCCAGAACCGCCACTTCATCAGCGGCTACCACCACCAGCATATTAGTTCGGATTATGAGCAAGTGATCAACTTTGTTGACTCGCCACCCAACTCTGAAGAATCGTGGACAGGTAAGAAAAAAGAGCTCTTTAAGATCACTTCATGTACATCATCAAACTGCAATCCTCGCCCATCGAAAACATAGAATCCTCCGCATCCTCGCTAATCGAACAAATTACGATTGTCGTAGACGCCCAGTCGAAGGACTCGCCGGGACCGCAGATCATTGACGTCCAGACTATTTACCTGAACAGCGGCTCACGCAAAAGACGAATGGATTGGGACTCCCTGGACATTGGTCAAAGTGAAAGCTCACCCACCGGATCACAGAGCGGCGACCTGCCCACCAAAGTGGTCCACCAGGAGAGGGACAAGCACAAGCGCGAGAAGCACTCTGGTAAGTAAGACCCGACTATATATCTATATAGGTATTCCCACCAAAAAAACCAGACTGTCGAGAATGCCACTTAATCATCATAATTTAATAAGTACGTTTGGTGGTAGGATACTATATTTAAACACAATGGACAGCTGGCCAATATGTGTCAATGGGATGATCATTAAATGAAATCTTAAATAATTTGCATAACTTGTGCGCTGACCCAGAATCAATGAAAGCGGTTAAGAATGGACCTGAGACTTCTTCCTGTGACTGGGAAGTTGGGTAGCTGGGTGGCGTGGTAGCTGGGAAGTGGGAATTCAAAACCCGTTGGCCCTCCCGCGATTACTGGTAGTATTAGAAGTGTTCGTAATTGAGAAACCCGTTTTTAAAACCGAATATACATGTGTGCACCTGTGTTAAGGAGTATATATACATGATACTTGTATACATCGGTATACCCTAGACAGGTGTATCTGATCGTAAGACAAGTGTGAGGCTTTCTGCCTTTCGGGGGTGCTAAGTGGCGTATAAACAGACGAATATACGATCGCTAATTAGTCTGTATCTATCAGACATGAAGTTATACGACATGCGTGAGGTGCCAATTAAAAGCCGAATAGATGAAGGGTTAAATTGGCCATTTTTCGGCGTATTATTTGGATTATGGATGTATAGGCCGAGTGCACTGTGAGAGCGGTCAAGTCTTTAAATAGTTTCATAAATTTATTAACACACATAAGGCTGATGGCTTCTAATGTCGGAGTTTAGGGTCCCTAATGAAATTAACAGCTGCGGCCATCTAACTATAATTAATTTAGCACCTGTGCTTGTGTTAATCAACCCAGCTTTAATATTAGAATGTCACTATCGAAATGAAAATCTTCTCGTGGTACTTTTCCAATGGCCAGCACCGAACAAGCCCCTAGCCCAAAGAGACCCTTTAAAGTTTCAACTTTAAAGATCTGCCCCTAAGATTGGGGGCTCAACAAAAATCACGCAAGGCACTCGGACTAACTAGGGGCCTAGGCATGACACTGACACACTACCTCTACTATATACAATGTACCGCGGAACAAACAGATTTGGGTAGACCCGGCCATATAATTTTGACTCCAATCTAGAGCACTCTAGCTCTGATGGCTTATCATCGCCATTCGGGCGGTACTCGGGGCAGATAAGGCCAAACACAGGCGTTTTGGCCGTCTGTGATGGTGGGTTGGTGGGAGATGGGTTGGAAGTCTGAAAGCGCCCACAGATAAGCAGGGATTGGAATATATATAGTCACTATGGGAGGCAGCCCCAACTGAGATCACTTGGCCAGGCCTAATTGCTCCAGCTTTTGTCCCATCCTCGTTCCCACACTCGGTTTATATAACCAAAGGCCATAAGATGAAATTGCGGTCTATACCCGAAAAGTACTCAATATATATAGTACTATATCTGACATTACAGAAGATTTGAATCAAACAATTAGCTCTCTGACACTATCGCAAATGTGAATTTGTTTGTGCGTCATTCGGGGTCTTGGATAACTTTGAATCGATTGTGAACCGGGTATTGTCCAATGGAATAGCCACACAGACAGGCTATATCTATCTCTACTGTCCCCACAAATTAAATTAATTAACAAAAAGCATCACAAACATTCTTTCATTAGAGTACATCATATATGTAAGCAGTTTACAATTGAATAGACTTTTCGACTTCAATGCCTTGAAGTCTGTTGTTCAGATCCCGTAACTTTATTCCTGATTAGGGTGGCGGGTCTATAATATATATAAATTAATTTCAAAGTGGGCTTATAAATGATGGCTGTGACTAATGTTTGACGTTCTTTTAGCGGCATTTACGCAAGTCGGCCATCAAGATTTGAGGGCCGCTTATCGCTGTCAAGAGAACAACTCTCTGATAGTTTTTTATAAAATTAGAAAAAAGTTGATAAGGATTGACTATATAGATCTTGTGGTCTTTACTTTCACAGGCCGCAGCAGCTGGAGCGATGATATTGGCTTCGACCTGAACGCCGAGTTCAACAGCAACTCGTACCTGAACAAGTAAGAGAAGCTCTAACCAAATCCAAGATTTATGGCTTATTCAGTTTACTTTGCAACCAGTGACAACTTCCTGGCTTTCTCGCCCACTCTAAGCACCCTGAAGCAGGAGCCCCAGACCGAGCACATCAAGCCGAGCCCCAAGATTTCGTTGGAGAATGCCGCTGGATCGCCCTCGGTGGCCATTGCCAAGTTGGACGAGGCCCAGAACTCACCGCTCCAGGTCATACCGCAGGGCAAGGAATCCGCTTCCGCCTCCGCCGGATCAGGTTCCGCAGGCAACACCAAGCACGATGTGAACTCCGGACTGGCGTGTGGCTGTGGCTCGCCCCAGGGATCCCCACAGGCCAACAACGATTACGAGCTGAACGACAAGGGCAGTGTCCTGCCTCAGCAGCAGCTGAGTGTCCTGGACCCGGCCAAGATAGAGATTGTTTCGGCCAATGGAGCCGCAAATGCCGAGGACCACAAGTGAGTCACAGTCTTAGAACCAAAGTTGGATATCTTTTAACCTCGTGATGTATCCAATCCAGGTTCCAATACATCCTCGCTGCGGCCACTTCAATCGCCACCAAGAACAACGAGGAGACCCTGACTTATCTCAACCAAGGCCAGAGCTACGAGATCAAGCTGAAGAAGATCGGTGACCTGTCCCTCTACCGGGATAAAATACTGAAGGTGAGTTCAAAGTCCCTGTTCCCAGCCACCCATTCAGCCGCCGGGCGGTCATGTGATGCGACGAATTGCTCGAGTGTCCACTGAGTCGTCTTCCAGTCGCCGAGTGGGTGTGTGAGCTGGGACGAGTGTGTGTCTGCGAGACTCAATTGGTTTTAATAAGCCACAATTGGTCTGCTCGACTCGAGAGTCCAGAAAGCCAAAGCGCCATGGCTGTGCATGTGGAATCTGCGTGTGCAAAATTGAAACTGAAAACTTTCCGAGTGACTTCATTTGCGGCCCCTCCTCACGACTTCTCCACTTTGCTGCCATTTTCAGAGTGTGATCAAGATCTGCTTCCACGAGCGCCGCCTCCAATTCATGGAGCGCGAGCAGATGCAGCAATGGCAGCAATCCCGCCCCGGCGAACGCATCATTGAGGTGGACGTACCGCTCTCGTACGGCCTGTGCCACGTGTCCCAGCCGCTGAGCTCCAACTCCCTGAACACTGTTGAAATCTTCTGGGACCCCTTGAAGGAGGTCGGCGTCTACATCAAGGTCAACTGCATTTCAACCGAATTTACCCCCAAGAAGCACGGCGGCGAGAAAGGAGTCCCCTTCCGGCTCCAGATTGAAACCTACATAGAAAACACCCCAGCCTTGAGCAACGCCTCCAATGGTGGCACCGGAAACGGCAGTGCCAGTGTGGTGACTGCTCCAGCCTCACCGGAACAGACTGCCAACGGAAATGGCTCCGGAAACAATGCCAAACAGGCGGTCCATGCCGCTGCCTGTCAGATTAAGGTAAGTGCTTGGGGGGAACCTCCTCCTAGACTAGACTCTCATAGTGACTAATACCTTCTTGCAGGTTTTCAAGCTAAAGGGCGCTGATCGGAAGCACAAGCAGGACCGCGAAAAGATACAGAAGCGTCCTCAGTCTGAGCAGGACAAGTTCCAGCCCAGCTACGAGTGCACCATTATGAACGATATTTCTCTGGACTTGGTGATGGCCGCCACCACTACTGGATGCTACAGTCCTGAATAGTGAGTACCCATTAGCCCCCTAGAGGCAATGCTGCGAATAATTTACTTTCCTAAGCGGCCCCACAATCTTCCAATTGAGCTCAGACAATTTTCCGCAAGTCTTGTTTATTTATGTGACAGCTACGGTCCGGGCCTTTTGATTTACGAACCCAACGATTGCAGTCATTCCAGCCATACAGCCATTTACATAACATTCAGTTAAGATCAAGTGCATATTACGTACCCTGTGATACGTGTTCCTTATCATTTGCAGTACAGTGCGGTTCATAGATGTTATATACATGGGATATGGGTCAATTATCTTCTAATGGAAGGGTCATTTAGGCTCTAAAATGTATTCCAATCTCAATTAGTAGCTGGAATTATTATGGCTCTCGTTCGATTCAGTCAGTAAATGCATTAATTTAGATACACATATTAAATCATATATAAATAGTCTGAGGTTGATGGCCGTTTCTACATATCTATAATTAAATTTAGGTTAGCTATTTATAAGATCTGTGCTTTATTCAATTCTAAAAATTTCACCAAGTGTTGTAATATGAAGGGCAGGAAATTATTGAAAATATTATTGAATTTGTTGGGTTTATTCCTTAAAAATATATACTTAAGTAGTATATACTCTTTCCAAAACATTCCATTTGTATTCAAAAACAACATTGTATCTCTCTTACAATAATGAAACGCACCATTGAGTGGAATTTTCCCGCAGCAGCCATACGAGAGGAAATCATTTTGTTTGCCATTTGAACAATCATCAAGATCAATTGAATTGAGAGCAGAAAGACCAGAGGGAGCAAGACACTGGGGGACTGGTCGCTGGTCACTGGGAACTGGCCACTGGGGAGACATGTGGAGACCCCTCTAGAGAGAGAAGGATCTCCCTGTTCGGTAGACTTTTAAGAGATCACCTAAGAGCGCTTTTCGCCGTGTGGCTGGCAGCCGCTTTTGCTTTTGGCCAGAAGCTATTTTTAGTTTAAAGTTGCTTTTAACCGGTTTTCAGTTTTCGTTTCTGCTCAATGATTTTGTTTGTTTACTGGTCGAGTACTATAGATAATAATGGCAAATGATATGGGATTGTATAAGGTCTTGTATTGTTGGGATCGATTATATCGATTGGCTGTGATCATCGCAACTGGATTTTAGCATTAAATCCATCCGAGCTTTAGATATGTGGACAATGGGAGGAGGGGCAGCGTCGGAAAGCGGGGCGGGATCGGGCAGAAAGTCTGGAAAAATTTCCCCTATGATATAGTCAGTCGTAAAACAGATTCCAAACTGGTTTGCTGGCCAATTAGCCGCAACAGGGCGTATCGGGTTGCTTGTAAACAAGGCGAGCGGTGGACGCCAAGATCCAGCCAAGAGCAAACCAGATTCTCCCCCCGATGGCATATGAAAAATGCGGCATCCAAGATGGGAGATCGATGATGGGAGTGTTTCTCGCATTCGCGAACATGCGCTTGCATCTGAAGGATCATCGGTTCTGCCAGCGTCAGATATTGAACGAGCTCTACTGGATTTGTAGGATCCCAGGACATTCCACTCTCGCCAAGCCCCACTAATCCTTGGACTATGTTTTCTCATCCTCAGTATGAAACTGTGGCCCAATTCGCCCGTGCACATCCCCAAGTACGATGGAATGCTTCCGTTTGCAGCCAGTGCAGCATCCCCGGCCACCAGCAGCAGCCCCATCGCCATCAACTCGGTGACATCCACCAACTCACCCACTCTGAAGCTGATGGACACCACCAACATGGTTTCGCCGCAGCATGTGCCTGCCGACATCGATGATTGCGTAGGTTTTCCTGTCTATAACCCTCTATCAGAACACCCCCATTTAACGATTACTCCAATCCCGAAACAGAACCAGAACATCATGCCGGAATCGACGCCCTCGCAAGTGACGCAGTGGCTGACCAATCACCGCCTCACGGCTTATCTTTCGACTTTCGCGCAGTTCTCCGGATCGGATATAATGCGGTTAGTACGACCATACTTTTCTATATATATATTTGTTATTAATATTTTTGACTTCCTTGTAGCATGTCTAAGGAGGATTTGATACAGATCTGTGGTCTGGCTGACGGCATCCGCATGTTCAACATTTTGCGCGCCAAGTGAGTAGACTCCTTCCCAAAATAAATGATTTCTTTGCTGACACCTCACTTTCCTCCCGAAGGACCATTGCACCCAGACTTACCATGTACGCCAGCTTGGATGGCTGCAGCTACAATGCCATTTACCTGCTGTCCAACACCGCCAAGGAGTTGCAGCAGAAGATCTTCAAGATGCCCGGCTTCTACGAGTTCATGGCCAAGGCCAGTGCCCAGGAGAACGGGGCAGGAGGTGCCGCCGCAGCCGCCGCCCTCTACAACAACTGGGGCATGCACTCGAAGTACTCCGGCAGCGGATCCAACATCTTCAACGACGCCAACAAGAGCTGCGTGTACATCTCCGGGCCGTCCGGCATCCTGGTCAGCGTCACCGACGAGGTGCTCAACAACGAAGTCAAGGACGGCAGCCTCTACGCCTTGGAGGTGCAGGCCGGCAAGGTGATCTTGAAGCTAATCAACAAGCAGGACAATAACTAAGGCCGCCTAACCCAAAATAAATCACCAGAAGAAGTATAGTTTATAGCATTTAAACGTAGCCCTCGGCTTGTTTTCTATATAAGCTTCAATTATATGAGATTTTCGCGCAGTAATTTTGAACAAGTAATAAGCAAGCAACCCGAAACCCGTTTTCCAATCCAAAACACTATCAAAAACAGAAAAAATATATAAAAAAAAAATCCTTTTCCCTTCTTAATGATCTAGTGCAAAGTAATATAGTTTTTTTTTGTTTTCAGTTTCTTTCTTTAAGTTTGATTTACTCTACCATGTATTTTATACCACTTATGCGATATACGCGAAACCTATGCACATTTAATCCTCCGATGCGATGGCATTTCGATTCGTTATTGTTTCTTCTACTTTTAGTTTTCTTCACCTTCTATGTTTAACGCTTATGTAAGGACTATATATTTGTTTGTAGAACCCAGCCAATACCAATATTAATTATTTGAAGTAGAATGAAAAGCACACAAAAAAAGTAACAACATATACCATCATGATTATTATATTCAAGTACAGTACCACGAATACAAGAATTGAGCAATTGTTTCGAAGCAGAGTTCAACTAGCAACCAAACAACAACTTTTGTATGTGATAGAAGCAATAAAGTGTTATCCACAAGTGGACTGTCAAAAAAAAACCAAATTGTAGTTTTTATTTAAAATTCAATCGATTAATCGATTTAAATAAGGGGCTTTCCCGAAAATGTAGTGTAACTCATTCGGTTCGTGTCTACGTTTGGAGCATTTTCAAAATCTAAAACAGTCCAGATTCCCTAATCAAATGGGTGGCTTCCACATCATTCTCATTATCCTGAGCCTCCCCTTCGGTGAGTTATGTGGACATGGTTTTCGGTTTCCTCTCTAAAGCCTTGCTACTCAAGAGCAGCTTGGGAAGTGCTGGCCGATTGTAGGATAACCCAGCACATGGTGGAGCAAACCAATCGCATTTTCACCTTTCGGGATGCCAGGGGAGACCTCCAACTGCAGCGACGGGAAACAGTGCCCTCTGGGGTCACCCTTCTGATGTACGCCAACCCATCCGATGTGCTGGAGACTCAGTGCCTGGACAGTGGCGGGTTCTCCGTTGCCCTGCCTATGCGGTGTGGCAATCCCATGATGCCAACGGTGACCAGGACAAGGGATAACGAATGTCCTGGCACCGTGTTTTCCGTGGGCTACACGATTGAGGGCAGGAGTCTGGAGCTCTATCGCACCTGCTTTGATGCCGAGCACGGAAGGTCCTTGTACTCCCAGAGCGACGTCTACTACAAGACCTTTTGTGAGGAAATTATTATTTATTTATAAGTTTCTATTTTAATTTATAATTTCTGAACAACCAGTTCCGAGACGGCCATTCGTGGACTTTGTAGCCGATGAGATGTTCAGTCCCCGAGAAGCAGCTGCCTACCTAAAGTCCAACATTTACTTCTCCTTCAGAGCCATCTACGGCGACGGCCAGTCATACCTGCCGAATCCTCGGGCCTTGATCATCAACCGAGGACACCTGGTGGCCTCTGCCGATTTCCTGTTTGTGGACCAAATGGGGAGCACCTTCCGCTACTTGAACGTGGTGCCGCAATTCAAGTCCATCAACGACGGCAACTGGGAGAAGATAGAGCGCTGGGTGCGCAGCCAGATCCCACCGTCCAGCTTCTTTCGGGTGAAGTCCGGCGGCATCGGGGTTTTGACACTACCGGACGCCAATGGATCCTTTCAGCAGGCATTCCTAGCCGGTTCCAAGATACCTGTTCCGGAGTGGACCTACAAAGTGGTCCGAGATGCCAGCGGTAATGGCCTGTACGTGTTCCTCACGTACAACAACTCCTTCTACACAGATAGGCCGCCGGTCCTGGACATCTGCCATCCTGTTGGTTGCCCCATTAGTTTGCCCAACAACCCCTCTGAGGGATACACCTTCTGCTGCAATCCCAAGAGTTTCCCATTCTAAATCAGCGATGTTGCATATTTCATAGCTTCCCATTTTCGGAAGGACTGCGCCAAATTATCCTGCGTAATAATCGCTTCATAAAAAATTCAGTATTTTTATTTAACAGACGCATGTTGGTGGAAAATTGCAGAGCAGCTAGTACACAGCGGATAAATTCGACATAATATATATTTAAATAAAAGTTTTTAAAAAAGATTAATATATATATTTACCTTCCTTCTACCATACCTACCATACCTTCCTTCTATATAATACCTTCTTTATTTAAACCCCAAGTGTTTCTTTTGTATTATGACCCCTTCGATTTTTGAGTCCTAACTCCACCAGGACAATTAGCCATTAATTAAGCTAGCTAGTAGCTACTAATGACATTTTAATCGCTATTAAGCCACTATATAACCAGTTGATTCCAAGTCATTTTTTAAAAATTATAAACCAATGGCGGAAAACGCGGAAATCTTCTACAAGCGCCAGAGGGCCTTCCTGAACATCTTCTCATTGTGGCCACCAGAATCAGGTTATCGCAGGTCCCTGCACCAGATCAACTTCATCCATGTGATTGGCTTCTGGGTGCTGCTTTTCGATCTGTTGGTGATCTTGCACATCTTGGGCAATCTAAACCGAATGTCCGAGGTAGTGAAGGCCTTCTTTGTGCTGGCCACCAGTCTGGGGGTCACCATTAAACTCATAAGCATCAAATGGTACAATGTGGAGTTGGACAAGCTCTTTGGGAGTCTGGACGACGAGGAGTTTCGGCCTCAAGGACCCAAGGAGCGGGCCATCTTTGCCGCTGCCTGTGAAACAAGTCGTTGGCAAAGGGATGGATATATGTTCTTGTCCTTGGCGGCTCTGGGAATGATTCTGATCCCGCAGCTCATCTTTGAATGGTCGCACTTGCCCCTGCCAGCATATAGCCCCTTTGATGAAGATCCTCGCAAACCCGGCTACTGGATTCTCTACACCTACCTGTTCCTAGGAGAGACAATATCATGTCTGACCAACATAGGATTCGACCCCCTCTGCTCATCGCTGTTTATATTCATCAAGTGCCAGCTGGACTTTGTGGCAGTGAGGTTCAGTAAATTGGACCACGAATCCGAGGATGACAGTACCGTTGGTGAGGAGCTGAGGAAGTGCATCCGCCAGCACATGGCCATCGTGGATCTAACAGCGCAGGTGGAGAAGCTTCTGACCAAAACGATATCGCTACAGGTCTTTTGTTCGGTACTAGTGCTCACGGCCAACTTTTATGCTATAGCTCTGGTGGGTCCTCTCTACGGATAATGAATCTTTAAAGGATATTTATATCTTTTACTTCTAGCTCTCTAATGAGAAGCTAGTCCTGTTCAAGTTTATCGTTTATCAGGCTGCCATGTTGGCGCAGATCTTTATTATGTGCTACTATGCCGGGTAGGGATAACTAATAAGATATCTTAATGGATATTAACTCAATCTTAAAAGAGAGGTCACCCAGCGCAGCTCAGAGCTCCCACATGAACTCTACAAAACCCAGTGGGTGAACTGGTCTCGTCCCAACCGCAGGATTCTGCTCCTCTTCATGCAACGCCTTCAGTCAAATCTCAGGATAAGGACCATAAACCCCAGTCTCAGCTTCGACTTAATGCTCTTCAGCTCGGTAGGTTAATATTTTAAAATATACCCCCTGCTTCCTTGCACTGTAGCTATAATTTCCATAATGAGCCCAATTTCCAGCTATTATCCTGGCTATAGCCCTGTCTATAAAAGGATTGGTTTGGGGGTTAAGTCAAGTTGAGTCAGAATCGGCAACATGTATCAGCATCAGTTGGTCACAGAGGACTTTTACAAGTACCAGGTGTGGTACTTTCAGATCCTGGGCGCTTGGAGGCTACCTATTTGGGCCACAAATGGACAGAAAAGACTCCACGCCTTTCGCTTTGGATTCATCCTGGTGATGCTCTGGGTTATGCTATTGCTCTTTGCTGTGGAGCTGGTCAACAATATATCCCGGATGCGGCACATCCTGAAGGTGTTCTTCATGTTCGCCACGGAGATGTCCTGCATGACTAAGCTGATGCATCTGAAGTCTAGGAGCCGGAAACTGGCGTACATGGTCGAAATGATGAGATCCAAGACATTCTCCGCTCGGGAAAGCGAAGAAATAGAGATAATGGAGTCGGCCAGGAGGGTGGTGATCAAAATGAGAAATTTCTACGGGATCTCGTCCCTGGGCACGGCCTCGCTTATCCTGCTAGTGCCCTTTTTTGCTGGATTGGAGGAGCTACCTCTGACCATGTACGAGGTGTGCAACATCCAGGGCAGCTTGTGCTACTGGCTCCTGTTTGTGTTCCACTGTGCTTGCCTGCTGCCCACCTGTGTCCTGAACATTACCTACGATTCGGAGGCTTTTTCTCTCCTCACCTTTTTGAGAGTACAGCTCCAGATGTTGGTCCTGCGTCTCGAAAAACTGGGTTCGAAAATTGATCCCAGAGATAACCAACGGATTGCCTGGGAGCTGCGGGAGTGTGCCAGATACTACAATAGCATCGTGCAGCTCAAGGATTTGGTAGAGGAGTTCATCAAGGTTCCGGGATCAGTACAGCTTATGTGCTCAGTGCTCGTCCTGGTATCGAACCTCTACGACATGTCCACTATATCGATTGCCAATGGAGAAGGAATTTATATGGCCAAGACTTGCATCTATCAGCTGGTGATGCTTTGGCAAATTTTCATCATCTGCTACGCCTCCAACGAGGTGACCATTTACAGTTATAGGCTCTGTCACGCCATCTACAGTTCCCAGTGGACGGCCTGGAGCAGGATCAACCGACGGATGATCCTTCTGATGATGATGCGCTTTGACTCACCTCTGCTCTTACGAACCCTTAATCCCACTTTTGTTTTCAGCTTGGAGGCATTCGGTTCTGTACGATGAATCTTAGTCATTAATAGGTTGTTTTACGTCTTAATTATATTTATTTTCTTTCCAGATTGTAAATGTCTCGTACAGCTACTTCGCCCTCCTGAAGAGAGTCAACAGTTGAATTTTGAATGGAAAAACTAAAAGGACCTCCTCTCTGTAGATCTATTGAGAGTTTTGAAATACCTTTTCTAGAAAACATTTTGCACTACTCTTTTAAATAACTACTGCTTTAAAATAAATACATAATTGTTAACGGGAAAACTTTTAAAGATCTTGAACTTTGTTGTTTGCCCGCCAAGGTTTTAAATGCTGCCATAGTATATGGGGATGCCACTATGGGGATGCCACTCAGACTTTTATAGTTATCGTTATCGGAGGGTCTATCGGTTTCTGCTAGCGGACAAAGATTAAGATGTCGGAAAACCAAAATAAACAAAGCTGCCTGCATTGTAGAGTATTCAATCCGAAATTCCGCTACCAGGAGATATTTGATGAGTTTGGTACCGAACTGGGCCTGCAATCCTTGCTGGCCAAGCACTTTGACTTGAATGTGACGCAGGACTGTAATAAGCAGCAGTTGCTGTGTGAGGTTTGCGTCAACAGTCTAATCCGTCTCTTTGACATCGATGAACTGCAGCGGGAACAGGATGCCTTGAAGAATAAGACCAAGACCAAGGAGTCTGCTCCTGAGCAGCAAGTATCTGTGGCCATCCAAGAATCCAGTGCTCCGCCATCCCCAACGGTGGATCCTGCTAAAAAAGAGGTGGCGCCTCCAAAGACTAAGACCGTAAAAACTGTACTTGTTGCTCCTAAAAGAGAACTCATTGTTCGCATCGACAAGGAACCATCAACTCCACCTCAGATTCCTCCGGCTTCTTCGCAGGATTTTGATAAAGTTAAGGAGCAGGAAAGATGCCCTCTCCCCGTCAAAGTAGAATCCAAAAGAGTTCCAAAGGAATCGGATCAGGAGCAGATCAGCCGCCTTATTCGGAACATCCTCAACGACGACGAGGTGATCGTTGAAGAGGTTTCACATTCGATTCCAGTGGAAGTTGAAAAAAATGAGGGAATAGTTCTGCTGGACAGCGAGTCTATCCCCGACACGGATCTAGACCAGGAAGAATTCATTTACGACCATGAAGGTGGGTTGGCTAATGGGTAACCAAGATCTTATCCTTAAGTCCTTTGTGTTTTTTTCAGATATTCTAGACCCGGTGCTGCCAGACTTAAAGTTGAAGACTGAGACTCAACCGAAGGGTCAGGAGGAGGATAGTCAGAGTGAAGGAGACGATGGTAGTGAATCCAGCAACGTCATACTCTTCAACTTTGTTGAGATCAAAGATCGTAAGTTGGATATTTGTTTACCCATTGGTTGGAACTTATTTTCTTCCCGCATTGCAGATGACGACGTTGGGAACATTTTCGAATACCTGTCCACGGTGGTGAAGACCAGCTTTGAAAAACTCTCTTTCGAGTGGTGCACAGATTGCAAACACTGCTCCCAAAAGTTCCAAAATTTCGAGTCTCTCTTTAGTCACATGTTGAAAGCGCACAAATCTCGAGGTAATGCCTTCAGGTGTCCTTTAAAGGACTGCAGCAAGGAGCTAAAAGGAAGCCAGTTTCTGGCCATGCACTTGGTGCTCATGCATGCCCAAGTGGCAGAGTACGTTTAAAGATCAGTTTAAAAAATGCCTCTTATATTATAGTTATTTATTTTGGTGTAGAATTCCAATCTATGGCAGCTGTCCGGAGTGCAGAATGACGTTTTCAAACATTCTGCAGTACAACAAACACTCTTGTGCCCATGTTATCAAAAAGAAGCGAGGAGTGCGGCTTTACTGCGAAATGTGTGCTCAGGAATTTCCATCCTGGAAGCGGTAATACCTAAGCTTAGGTCCATAGGTCTTCATTTCACTTTAAAGCGTGATATATTCTCTTTATAGTTTCAACTTTCACAACCAATTTCATTTGGAGAAACACAGGCCGCGCAATTGTTTCATCTGCGATTATGCCAGCAAGAATATTGACGAACTTTTCCAGCACTTGAACTACTTCCATGAGCCAGAGGGAACACTATTCTGTGATATGTAAGTGGTTGGAAATGAAAGAGGACTTAGACTCAAATATTTTGTAATTCTTAGCTGTGATCGCACCTTCCGAGATCCTGAGGTTTTTACGGAGCACAACAAATCCCATGCCAATATTGGTGGCAGCAGCTTTACCTGCAGTGAGTGCATGGCCTCGTTCGAGTCGCGTGGTCGATTGTATGGGCACATGGTACGATATTCTATAACATAAAATTCTTCCAAAAATATTAAATGCTAATATCTTTAGAGAGCCATGCATGGCAGCGCTATAAGCTGCGAACTGTGCTCCCGCGAGTTCGCCACCGAGGCTACCTACAACATTCACATGAAGAAGCACTTGATCATCGAGAGGGACGTCAATGTGTGCACCAAATGTGGCCAGCTGAGCGACAACCTGGAGAACATGCAGGCCCATGTACACAATAAGGAGTCCCCCTGTTTTCAAGCAAAGGTTTCCACAGAACTCCTTCGCGATGCCTATACCTGCGAACATTGCTCGCTGTACTTTAAAGAAAAAGATGACCTGCAACGCCATCGGAAAACGGGCGTCCACAAGAACGGATTGTATTGGTGCCAACCGTGTGGCAAGGAGTTTTCACATATGAAGCTATACCGCCACCACATTCGAAACTTTCAGCAGATAAGAGGAGATGCCACACACCGCAAACTGGAGATTTGTGTTTTATACATGTGTGACCAGGAGGTTTGGGTTATAATCTAAGATTTTGAATATGAAGACTAATAATATTCTTTTAGGACTGTTCTGAGGCTTATGCGAATTGGAACTCCTTGTATACGCACAAGCGACGAACCCACGAGTCCTCCAGCAAGCAAGCTAAGAATACTTCAAAACCTGAACAAGAATGGGTATGCCAGTTCTGTTTGAAGCAGTGCCGCTCTAAGATGTCGTTGTCAGTTCATGTAGCAAGGAGCCACAATAATGGTATGAGACGAATCTGTCAAATTATCATACTCCTTACAATTAAACTTTGATTTGCAATCCCCTCTAGACAATGTTGTCTGTGCTTTGTGTAATGCTTCTTATAAGAACCAGGAAGCTTTGGACAAGCACCATGCCTACTGGCACGAGCCCATTGAATGCCCCCAGTGCTTCAAAATCGTCAAAAACCGTCGAAACTATGATACCCATGTAAACGTGGTCCATTCCAATACGAAGCGCTATGCCTGCAGTGTTTGTCAGAAGGGTTTCTACCACAAAAGCGAAATGGAGTCGCATCAGAGAGTAAGTACCACAACCCAACACTTTAGGGCTCTTATTTATGACCACTTATTTCCCAGCTCCATGGGCAGTCCTACAATTGTGACCAGTGCAGCTTTACCACCAGGAACAAGAAGTCCCTGTCCGTTCACGTTCTCGGTCAGCACTACAAGCGATTTGCTTTCGAATGCATGATGTGCCACAAGCGATTTGGAAGGCAACAGGGTCTGAACACCCACATGCAGCGAGCTCACGGATCGACGTTCACGTGCCGGGAGTACTTTGAAGGCGGCTGCGGGCGCAGCTTTCTCAACAGTTCCCAGTTGAATGTACATGTGCGAAAGGTTCACAACGGCACTATATTCCTGACCGAGGAAGAGGAGGAGGAATTCATCAACGACGGGCCATCGACGTCTAAGAAACGATGCTTTCGGATCGACGATGATACCCATATCGAGTTTGTAGAGGATGCCGACACCACCCAAGATGGAATGGAAGTTGTGGATGAAATAGAAGAGGATGAGTTCGAAGACGAAGGCTTAGATGCCAAGAATTAAGGTAGTTTCATTTACATTTAATTTAAAATTGTTTTGCTAAAGCAGATTTATTGGTTTGATTTTCATTTGTTTGCTATCCATGAACACAAATGATGTCCGAAAATGACATTAACATGTATTCAGTAGTACATAATATAATTCTAGTGATAACATAAGCTAACATTTCAATTGCATTAACTAGCCAGAGTCTGGCGGAAGCAAATTTGATTTATTAAGCGTTGTAGTTTGGTCATTTAACTGCTGAAGATTGTGTGCGGAGCTTACCTAAAATTAGATACAAGTGTCATTACAAGGTTGTGAAATACATAAATGGGATTGGCTTACTGGGCTAATTGGTGTTATAACAATGGCAGTACGCGTGGCGCACTGCAGCAGGGCCGTGTCCTCAGTGGATTCATCGCAGTCACCGTCGGCGTCCGCATCCACGTCCACATCGACCCCAATATCACTGTCGATCTCCCAGGAGGGGAAGTGTTCCATTTCGCCTTCACAGTTGAGGTCCTCCTCCTCGAAATCCTCGTACTCATCGATTAGTATAACTGAACGAGAGAATATATAGCTTATAGTTTATAGTTTAAACTAAATATTTTGCTAATCAAAAAGTCAACAAAAATTTGTTTATTTTTCTTATTTTATGACCATCTTTAAATCCGCAAATAAAAAAATACTGTTTTAAAAATATAAACTCATAAAATAAACATATTTGGTTTCTTTTTATTCATTCTTTGGTGGCCAATTATTTAAAAACTATTCCATTGTCTAAATTAAATCATAATACTCTAGATTCCATTTAAAATAAAACAATCTATCTAAATTTTTAGGGAATTAAATTACTTGAACTATCTGGCGGCGTTGGCTTTGCACTGCTGTCCAGGGATTCAGCACCCTCATCGGGTATGTTGATGCGTTGCTCCTGCTTGCTATATGGCTCCGATGTGGATCTTTGTAGGCTTTAGCACAATTATTTAAAATTAGAAGCAGATATTTATTTGTAAGTTACTGGACTTACCTTAACGTAACACGTTTTTTGGTTCTATTCTCTAATTCAGTCAAAAAAACATCATTGTGCTGCTGCTTCTCAGACCCCAGCTGATATGAGTTAAGCACGGAAGACTGTAAAGATACAAAGATACTTGATATCCTTCAGATACTTGCAACTGTTGCACATTACCTTTGTATTGGTCGCTGTATGCTGCATGTGCGGCGGCAATGGGGTTTGTGTGGCTATCGCATCCGTGGTCGTGGTCGCCGTCTGTGTGGCCGTCAGGGACTTCAGCTCGGAGCCATCGGTGAGAGAGGCACTCACCACCGGGGTGGTGGTCACCTGCTCCGGATGGACACTGAGTGCCGCAGTGCGTTTCCACACATCGATCATGGCCAGGTTGTGGGCGTGGTGCAGGGGCTTGTGGTTAGGACTAATGGAATGTATTTTGGGCTTGGCTGGCAAGGGAAGAGCCAGGAATCTATCACGATCCTCCATATACGCCTTGATCAGCACGTCCAGCTTCTCTTCTATATCAGCGACCTGGAAAGTAGGTTGTGGTTAAGTCTTTATTTAAGATGTCCATACTTTAAGGGGTTATCTCACCTGCCGTTCGACTTTAACCACTCTGGAGGCTAAGCTTATTTTAGAAGCATAGACATCCTTGGCCTTGGAGCCTTGTTTGCCTAGGATTTGATCCAATCTGTTTGGGGATTGGGGGATATGTTAAGAGCTCTTTGGGGTTATTTGATTTTGAAGAGAACTCACCGCAAATGTAGCATCTTTACGCGACCCAACAAGTCCACATGACCTTAAAGTTTTGGTATTTAAATAAAAAATATTTTAAAATTAATAAAATATCACTCACCTGCTGCATATTGCTCCATGACATCCTTGACATCGTAGGGCTTCAGGGCTTCCTTGAACTTCCGACGAGCCACAAAGTACTTGAGCTAATTATAAAGAGATTTAAAAGCTGAATCCTTAAGGGGATATCCTAGGACTCACCTTGCGTATGAATCGGATGGCGGTCTTGTGCCGGTTGGTTAGCTGGGTGCAGCGCGGCTCCTCATCCTCATCTGCGGGCAATTTGTGAATCAGAGAGATTGACTTGTGCGTTAGGTTTTGGTTGCTAGCTTCGCTTGTTGGTTATTTATTTTTTTTGGTTTTGATTTTGGTTTTTGGATTAGGTTATTCAAGTCAACGTCAACGCAAATATACAACAACACATACAAAAATACCGTTACACACACATATGGAACAATCAGTAAATACACATATAATATTATCATTATTATTATGAATTAATTTTTAAAGATCATCAACGATAGATAGAGAGAGAGCTTAGTTAGTTAGTTTAGTTAGTAAAATGCGCGGCCGAAGGATCCTCCAGCCCAGATACAAGAAGCAAGCGTTGTGGTGTGAGGTGGTGTCGCAGTGTGATGGGATTAGTGGGAGTACTACTATTCTTTTGGGTGGTGGCTCAAATGTTTCCAATATTCTTGCTACAAAATCAACTCAAACTGCAGGATTTGTGGGGAAGAGGACATTCTACGGGGGATAGCATGCAACCCTAGCACAGGCGGAATACTCGGAGCTTTCTTTCAAACATTCGACGGGGGCACACGCACTTGCCACATTTGAGCTTGCACCACCACCACCGCCTCCAGAGGTGGCACTGTGCGAGAATCCGGTCTCCAGGAAATGCGAGGCTGCCGCAAAAAAGCGACCCGTGCGTCCGCTGCCAGGACTCCGGTTAGGACTCGAACTGGGACTCCGCCGGCTGATGCCGGGCAAGGGCAATGTGTTGCTGCGCCGGCAGGCATCTTCTCCTGGCTTATCCTCCTCCTGGTGGCCCCCAGCCTCCACGTCCCGGTCGTTGGCAGGAGCCACTCGCGAGCCACGCAGCGACAACGTCGAGCCGAAGAAGTTTCCGTGCAGAAAACCGTAGAGCACCACCGGAATGGTAAGGTTTCTGGAGCTAGGCTCGCTCTTGACCGGCACCTGGCCTGCATCCCGATCGGAAACCACATGGACCTGGATGGCTGGTTCCGGATCGGGAAACTGGGCCAAGGAGCCGGCACTGGAGCTGAGCTTGCAGTTGGCCAGCGACTCTGGCGGCTGGCTGGCTAATTGGGTTAGAGAGCTGGATTAGGATTAGGACCCATCCGGAGCGGTTAGTCGAGGGTGTCCAGTGGGACCGGCGGGGCAGGTGGGAGGGGGCGTTGTGTGTTAGGCAACCAACCAACCAACAAACAACATCAATTCAAATTTAAATCAATCTTATCTCTGGGATGCATTGGATTCACAACATTGACACAACCACAACACTCAAATACTATATAGTGTGATATAATATTCAATTTTTGTTTTTTTTTTTTATGTTTTGATAAATTTTGGATATTCGTATTGTAGGACCTGGGGGAGAGGACCTTGTAGACTTACCGTCTGAATTTTTAATATTTTTTAAGCAAGTGGTTTCAGCAACCGAATCCTCGCTGAAACTTGGATTCATGGATTTGCCGTTTTGTACTACCTCTGCAAAATTTTAAATCAAACGTTAAACTCTACGAATTTTTGGTATTCTCGAAACAACAACGAAAATTTGCATAACGGAGCAGCGATTTTGTAAATTGTAACTGGAATCGGATTGTGTGCCAATTGGATCTGCGATTCGAGAGACACGGTACGGTACACTCTATATATGGGTCGTACAATATTGGAACATTCAATACGTTTTTGCGAAATAAACTTAAAAAATAAATATCCAGCGCCACAAAAGAGAAATCAAAACAGTTTGTTAATCGCATCCAAGTTTAAAAATACTATTCTTAGTTATTGCATTGTTTGTTGGTAAATTTAATTTTTGATTTAATTTTGATATTTGGTTAAAGGAATGATATATTATTTGGGGTTTTAAGGCTTAATATTTTTCAATCTTTTCAATTCTAATGATAAGTATATGATTATTTAGTCAATTCGTCATCTTTATCTCTAATAAATAGCCCCAAAAATGGTGGGCCATTAGTCTGTTGTTAATAAAATTAATTATTGAGGCAGATATTGGAAAATCTTAGTAATGAACTTGCCAAGGCTCTATTAAGCCGCAATATTTCAATTAATATCGCATCAAAGCTGCCCGGAATTGTTTATGGTTTATTGCTAAACGACTATTTTATTGACAATTAATTCAAGTGGAATTTATTGCAGAACGTTGCATGCATATCAAAATAAGCGAAATTAAGCAAATGTCCCTTGAATCCAAGGCGGATAAAAATATATGTTTCAATCGTTTTTCGAAACTTGTATGTTTTGGCATCTCTGGTGGGGGAGTATCTTTGTCTTGTTGGGGAATTCGGGGAGCTGCGTAAATATGCAAAAAGAAAACCTTTTTTTTCTTGTTTGGTTATTGTTTGCTCAGCAACAATAAAGTTTGAAAGAACAACATGCTTGGGTCGAACAGTGCGTTTCGTGACCGTAAGGCATATGTTCTAAAATAAAAAATATGTTGATTTGTACGTTTTAGTCTCGAAACGCACTTTTATAAAAAAAAATACCCATTAAAGCTTGATGTGTGTGTGCATGTGTGGGCTTTGTGCAAACAGAAATTCGCCATGGAATGGAAATGGGAAACATAAACGGAAATCGGAAGGATCTCCTAGTTAGTCCTTCAACTTACCCAGATTCTCCACGGACGCATTGATGTCCCGAATGGTGCGGGTGTAGCGGGTGGAGGCCCGTGACGAGCCCGGGGGCTTGGACATTCCGGTGCCGTCGCCACCGCCCGGAGTCTGGATCGTTTGGCTCTTGTGCCGCCGGATGGTGGGCAGCCGGGCCACGAAGGACGTGTTGTGCTTAAAGCTGGACGAGGCCCGTCTACACGATGGGTCAAACACAAAAAAGAAGTCAAACGGTTAGCCATCAAATATTTGCACAAATCAAACGTTTTTCATTTAATGTAAATAGAAAAGTTATCTGGCAAATAGTCAACAGGATACGACTGTGTGTGTTTTCTAGTTAAAAAGATTGTGTGTGTGTGGTGTGTAGCAGTGGGTGTAGGTGTACTTGTGTAGTTGCGCATACATACAAGAATATGTGAGATTAAGAACATTTAATATTGAGATTATGGTGCCAAGGCCACAACACTAAAGATTAGTTTTAAACATATACAAGTTTTCAATGAAGTGCAACAAAATTCCGGACTCTAGCGACTTTAGATAGAGATGGTTTACTCAAGAGGGCTTTGTCGCGGGGGACGGCCGTCCAGGTAGGTGACGAACCTTCGGCCTTAGCATAGATATACTATCTAATATCTAAGGTTTCTACCTACAGCTATCTTTATTCTTCATCATAGTTGTTTAACTTTCCCTGATTCACTTAACATAACTTTAAAGAACCTTATTAATGGGGTTTTGAAAAAGTGGCGACCGTGACAGCAAAATAACCGTGCCCTTATGTACAAGATAATAGAGGTCGCAGCAAACTTAACAATTAGAATTGGTATAGAAACCCTAGGAATTTTAAACATTTTATTCTAAAATTAAACCTACTTCTACATTAATCTAGCTCTCAATGAATCCCTCAAGGAAACACAAATTCCTCTTAATAAAACCCAGAAAAATATCTATCAAACAGTTGAGAATAAACTTATAAATGTTGCAAGTGGTGCTTTGATCTTTGAGAAGCTGGATATCGAAAAAACAGGCGACGAGGTGCTGGGGGGCAAAACATATCGTAAATGTTCAAAACGGTAGCGGGTTGTGTGGTTGGATAAGTGTCTTCATTGGGCTTAAGGGGTTAAAAGAGGCAAACGGGGGTTGAGAGACAAAGATAGAATCGAATAAAAAGCTTTTCACTCAATTTGCTTCATTGAACTCACGTGTTAATTATAGTTTAGACACACATTTACATATATGCATTTTTTATGGAGTTTTTGTTTGGGCGCGCGGCAGCAGAACACACAGAATGAGAATCAATTCGTATCACATTGATTAATCATACATATATCGGTCATTGAGGAAAAAAATTCAAAAAAAATGTTTTTCAAAATTTAGCATAGAATTCTTTAGAATGCAGCGGAAGACAGAGATGGATAGAACGAGGCGAGAGAAAGAGACAGAGCGGCAGAGGTAGAGAGAGATAGAGAGACTGGTGCTGATGGTAAGAAAGCTGCGAATTAATTTTATTCGATTTAGATGTGGGAGCCATGTCTACAGATGTGGGTGCTTTGGGGGGCTGAAGGACACCGCCCTTAACAGAATGATGGCAATTGCTTTTTGAGTCTTGCTTGGCTTTGAGATTGATTTTTATTGCTTTTTTTTATGGTTATCAAGTTTTACCTATATTCAGTTATGTTTTTTAATAATCGCTCCCAGTTTTCAGAACTGAAAATGTTTACAAAAATTATATTATCTATGGGAAAAAGTAAATTATAGAGAACTTAAGTGGTTAATAATCTGGTGGGTGTGGAGAAGAAAGACAGATAGATAGAGAGTTGGGTGGCTAAGTATTCTGACGGGGCTACACTCTAGATATATGCAATATATCTCTAGTTCTACCCATGCTAGGTGTTGACCAGTGTTCTTGTTCTGTACATCTTTAGAGATTGTTTTAGTTTGTTTTTACACATGTTTAGTGTCATGACGCTTTACCAATTGGCGCCTTTCTATGCGCTTCTCAAAAAGTTTAGCTGTGTCGGTCATGAGCACACTCATGTTTTTGTTTTAATTTCGGTTATACACACCAATGCAGATCGTGTTCGAGTGTGTGGGTGTGTGGTGTGCGAGTGTTTGTGAGAGTGTATGTGGTAATTTATCTTTTTTCTGTACAAAAAGTCGTTTCACTTCTCCTCTGCAAATAAATTCCCCAAAAGAGTCTTCATTTTTGATACAAATAACCCACCCAAAGCGAAACAGTTGAAGGAAGGGGAATACTTACGAGGCCGGCGGACTGGGCAAGGCCACCTGATGGATCTTCCATGTGGCCACCGACACGGAATGCTCGTCGGCCGCATAGCATCGCCACACGGCCTGGATGAGAGTGGCAGCCGGCTGGCGTCGCCGGATCATGTGCTTCTGCCGCTGCTGCTGCTGGACCTTCAAGGCAAAACCACTGCCCAGGATTCCCTTTAAAAGTTATTTAAATTATTTATCAATAAAGTAAATATATAGGTACTATTTTGTGCTTACCGCTGGTAGTGCAAAGAAGGATATTCCCAACAGAGCACAACAGGAGGCTATCAGCTTGCCCTGCCAGGTGATCGGCACCATGTCTCCATATCCCACCGTGCAGAGTGTAATCTGCATTCGAATTATTGTTATACTTTTTATAAACTATAAAAAATAAGTCATTTTCTTACCACACCCCACCATAAAGCCTGTGCGAAGTTACTGAACTTATCATTGACGTCCTTCTCCCACATATAGACCAGGAATGATGCAAATATTAGACCTAAGAATCCTATGTACATGGTTGTGATCAGCTCCTACAAAATAATCATAAAATATGAAATTTAACAACACTTGCCATTAAGTAAATTCAATACATTAACTTAATGAATGCAAAGTATTATATACTCAGATTTTGTCGCTTAATGAGAAAGTAAGTGACCCTACAGCACAGAAATTAAATTTTAATAGCTTTTTTTGCGCTAAGCTTCCAGTTGGAATGCTTTTGTTTTTGATTTGAAATTTAGCTCAGAATTTAATTAATTTCAAGAGAGTTTACTAACCTGTCTGTGTGCGTAAACAACCGAACCGAGCAGCTTCCAGGTGCCGCCCCGTCGATCCATGCGCACCATCCGCAGGATCTGAAAGAACCGCAGTCCTCGCAGGGCACTTGTGGCGAACACCTGACCGGAAGTGCCCATGCCTAATACTACAATTGAAGCTAAAATGGTGACTATGTCTGCAAATGATAAAATTTATTATTAATCTACTTGTTATGCTCCTAAAGCTCTATCTTACCTATAATACAGAATGGTCGCTTGACGAACTTGAGCCGCCCTATGCAGCCCTGGTACCGCGATCGGCAGCCCGAGGACCACAGGCGGGCCCCGAACTCCATCGTGAACCAGATGACAACCAGAATCTCCATCCGGAACAGGATGTACACGGCGTCCTCCTCGTATTCCTTGATGGTGGAGAATACGCTCAGAGCCAGGCAGGTGAACACCATCAGGAATCTGATACATGGTAGGTGTGATAAAAAATTAATAAGTTTATTTTATTTAAAGTATAAATATATTTTTTATATTTATTTATTTTATTTTAAAAGACTATGTAAATATTTTGAATGCTTTCTTTTGTTTAGTCGGCACTTTTATGGGAGAATAAATAACAATAACTACGTATTTATGAAGGTGTCATATAACATTTCATTTTCTTCCATAGGTGCGGAAAAATTTACTTTTAAGAGTACGATTTTAAAAAATATATTTGAGAAAATAATTTTACATTTAAAAGAGTTCAAGTAATAAAGCTTATCTTAAAATAAATAATAAAAACAACTCAAAAAGGTAATTCATGAAAAGTTTTAAGGAAAATCACAACTTAAGTGTGTTTGTTGATACTCCACACTTCTTTCTTGTTTTTTGTTGATTAAAATTAAAAAATTATTTAATTATTTATTTAAAAAATATACTTACACCATAACATGGTAGAATATGGCGTGCAGGCCCCGCGGTCGCTCCAGGAAGTTGTAGAGGCGGCTCTGGAGGCGCCGGTAGCGAACATCGCGGCGGGTGCCGCGATTGTAGTTGAGCGGCTTCCCTAGGAGTGACATTCGCGGTTGCAGGATTCGTTCCGAGATCGGCCTGCCCGGTCTACATTTCCTGCAAAGAGGAATTTAAACATTTATGATTTTCACTTATGGCCCGGTATCTCAGAAGATAAGAGAGATCATTTTTGCTGAGTGTACCCCTTGTACTCCCTAATGTCGTAGAAGGCATAGATATCGTTGTCGGGATCCATTCTAATCTCATTCCAGCACACTGATTTCTCAACAAATCCCGGATAGCTTGTGACACTTTGGACACGTCTGGTCGGAACGGCGCTTGAACCGCAACTCGATCGTTGGTTAAGCGTTGGCCGGTTAAAAAACCTTCCCTAACAAGTCTACTGACTTTCAAAACCCTCATGTGTAAATTTTATTAATTATCTACATAAACAGTTTTTCGTTCCACACACCTTGCATTTTTATGGCAGACTAGGTCTACGCAGACCTCTATTTGATTTTATTTTGATACTCTATATACCACCCTCAATATACATCGTCACTCGCCAGAGTGTCATAAAAATTCGCGTATTTTAGCGACAATTTCGTTTTGGTGCTCCTCCACAATTGTGGGCGGGTCAGGTTCGGTTTAGTCACGATCTCTCGACTTTGTCTTTGCCCAACGTGCTGCCCCGAGATCGTACGTCATTAACATTTGGTCGGCACTTGCCGGGCCATGCCCCATAGCTCACAAAAACAGCTCAAATATGGGTGAGTTTTGGCAATTCGTTCGGGGTGTGCTGGAAAATTACCAGCCGCCAATAATAATACTAGGGTTTCAAGAACTCTATATTGCTATGGTAAATATAATATATACTATATAGAGGGTATATATTGAGAGAAATGCTAGGAAAATTTCACAGTATTTTGATTGGTTCCGGGTCTGTGTTTATACACTTTCTTTAAAGAGGCTGTTTAAAATATCCTCATAACAATCATAAGCTTAACAAGAAAGGAAAGCTAACTTCGGGCGGAGCCGAAGTTTATATACCCTTGCAGTTAAAACTGGATATATATCGCAAACATCGGATATAGTTGGCCGATCCTTATGATTACATCATAATAAAACCAATTAATTACAATAAAAAATCTAAAAAAAAGTCCCAAGCTTCTATCTTCAAAAATACGAAAGTTGATATTTCTACCAAATACCATTTCCGATCGTTCAGTTATATGGCAGCTATAGGATATAGTCGGCCGATCCTAATGAAATTTGGTAGGTCGGATTAACTGACCAAAAATATAATCTGTAGCAAATTCCAGCTTTCTATCTTCAAAAACACGAAAGTTGGGTCATTTCCGATCGTTCAGTTATATGGCAGCTATAAGATATAGTCGGCCGATCCTTATGAAATTTGGCATGTCGTAATTTGTCGCCAAAAATAGCTCTCATGTTAAATTTGAAGTCTCTAAATTTAAAAACACCAAAGTTATACCATTTCCGATCAATCAGTTATATGGCAGCTATAGGATATAGTCGGCCGATCCCGGCCGTTCCGACTTATATACTGCGTGCAAAGGAAAGAAGGGTGTGTGCAAAGTTTTAAGACGATAGCTTCAAAACTGAGAGACTAGTTCGCGTAGAAACGGACAGACAGACAGACGGACAGACAGACGGACAGACAGACGGACAGACGGACAGACGGACAGACGGACATGCTCATATCAACTCAGGAGGTGATCCTGATCAAGAATATATATACTTTATAGGGTCGGAGATGTCTCCTTCACTGCGTTGCACACTTTTGGACAAAATTATAATACCCTCTGCAAGGGTATAAAAAGAAAAAGTTAGACATTTGATATTTTTATAAAAAGTAAAATAAGTGGAATATTTTAGGGTCTATATTAATTGGGAGATAGGTATAGGTATCTAGTTGAAAAAGAAACCGATTTTCATATATCTGGAGATTCTTCTGACCATCTTCCATTTTTATAGGACAGCTACTTTCACTGAAGAGTTTTAATACAATTTTAAGGAAACATCGATTTAAGAAAATATTCTTTAGTGAAACTTTGAACTTTTTAAGCAAAAATAAAATTAACTATTTTAATTTGCAGAATGTCTTTAGAGGTCTTTGTAAAGAATGCATTTCTCTGAATCCATAGGGATAATACAACAACGTAGTCATTATTTTCTATAAGAAAGATATGATCAGTAGATTGATTTTGTATCCAAAGCGGTAAACTTGAAAGCCCCCAACCAACAAAGAAACGTCAAACAAAGAGCCGTCTTATATTGGCTCTTCTCTGATTTATATTTACAAACTAATGCAAATTAGACATGATTCATTAAAAACACACAATTATCGTGATTTTACTGGCATCCCAAGTCCCCAAGCACTGAAAAATATATATGCTAAATGGACGAATTGCGATGGCAGGCAGTCAGGCAGTTATTGTTGTGCTAATTGTATGTGGGAAGCGGGAGAGCCAGTTCTCAGGTCTCTTTTGGCAAACAACTTTTCAAAGCTCCAACTACATGGAATGGATATATAATTGCAATGTTGTGAAGTCAGTTATCGACATCGAGGCATCGCCACTTCGCCACATTGCCACTCGGTTCTCTTTGAAAGCTTTCCACCATCCACGGACCACGATCTCCGGGGGGAGAGACTCTTTGTTTTTTGATTCCGCGATGTGAGTCAGCCCCCTATCTTATCTTCCTGCCCCCCTGGGATGGGCCCCCGATCCCTACAGAAAGTGCTGCCCATAAGCATAGGTCCATTAAGGCGAAAAAATCGTTATATTTTAAAATTGTTTAATGCATTCTCGCTTGTTGATGTGTTTCTTCTTATATATTGTAAGTGCTGCTGTTTGTTGTGAGTGTGGCTTAGGTTAGGCAGTAATTTAAAAATACGATGTGGGTGCGCAATGCTCGCTTGGCCGTCAGAACGTATTTACACAGTAGTTTGCTGGGGGAGAACAGAACCGCTTTAACATTAGGAAATAAAAATACGTTAAGTATAAGTGTTCGTGTACAAGATCACAAGTTGTAGCACCGGGCGGGGGAACGAGGCGGTGGGGATGTCACCTCCTGCCTCACTGCCTCACTTCTTGGCATCGATGATGATCTCGTCGCCCGACTGGATGTTGTAGCTGTACAACTGTTTGTTGGGGAACCTCATCTCCTCGGGCCCGAACTCCTTGTAGTCCTGGTCGAGATAGTAGAGACGCATCTTGTTGGGCGCCAGGCCCACCAGCTTCTCCAGCTTGACCTTCAGATCGTTGACCGTCAGGTAGATGTCCACGAACCGGCTCTCGCTCACATCGTTATAGGTGAACACGACCTTGACCCGCTTGTCCGGCTTCAGGCTGACGTTCACCAGGGGGTCCAGCTTCCCGTGGATCCGCAGCAGCTCCTCGTACCTGGCCGGTCGCTCCTCCTCGGGCTTGTCCATGTAGTAACGGACGAACGCCCGCTCGGCGTCCACCCGCTCGTCGGTGCCGATCTTTCCGCCTCCGTTCAGCATCTCCACATTGGGCAGCCGGGCTATCAGGAGCTGGCGCCGCTCGTGCTCCGTGCACTCGAGGCTCTCCCACAGGGGCCAGTGTTTCACGCGGAGATTTCTCAGCTGCCCGAACTTGGCCAGCTGGTCGATGGCACTCCAACTGTTGAGCTGCGCGGAGCTGAGGTTGAGTAGCTTCAGGCTGGGGAAGTATCTGTGGGACGCCGACTCGGCCTCGTTCTCCGCCTCCTCCGCCTGGAGCGAACGGATGGGACAGTCGGCCAACACCAAGGCTTCAAGGTTGGGGAAAAGGCGGCCCAGCCGGCAGATTTCCTGCCAGTGCTCGACGGGATTGCCGGTGAAATGCAAAGTCTTTAGTTCGGGATGGGCTTTGGTAAGCCTCCGTTGCTCCTTTTCCTCCTCTGTTTCCGTATCCGGTTCCGTTCCCTGGAGACGCTGTTCCGCCAGCACCTCCACCTCGTGGGCATCTATCAACACCTGTCTGTAGTTGTTCAGGCTGAGGTGGAGCTCCTGGAGCACGGGCAGGTTCTGGAGCAGGGCGTCAACGCAGGCCCAGTCCAGGTAGGTGCCGTTGAGCACCAAGCTCTTGAGGTTGATCGTGGGCGCCGTGGCCAAAGCACTGATGGGACTGGCCAGCTGATTCTTGCTCAGATTGAGGAACTCAATGCGCGGCATGTGCTCCAGTATGCTGAATACCTCCGACCAGTCGCGCAGCTTGTTCTGGGCCAGATCCAGTTCCCGCACCCGCTGGCACTTGTCGCGGATGCTTTCGAAGTCGCCAGCGGAGTCGATGTCGCAGTCGTTGAGCACCAGCAACGCTGGGACACTGGTCAGGGGGGAGAGTCGTGGTATGAAGATGGAGAACTCCATCCGCCCGCCGCACTTGGTCACCGTGAAGTCGTTGGGCAGATCGCTCCGCTTGTGCAGCTCCGGTTCGTGGGCATTCTCGAACTCGCACTCGGCGAAGTACTTTCGCTCCAGCGCCTCCAGCAGGGATGGCATCTCGTTGCAGTACTCGTCTCTTTGTAGGAGGGACGTTCCACTCCCCAGCCCTTGGCCAGTTCTTAGAAACCTACTTCTTCCTCCGCTCTCTGGCCTCCGACCTCTGTCCTCCGAAGGCTACGATATGGCCAGTATAGTGGGGCTTTCCTCAATTGATTTTCCACTCTCTTGCTGGCATAGACTTTTCCGTTTTCCGTTCCTAATTATTTAATGTTTATTTTTGTGTCTTGGCGTGTTCTGGCCGTGGGGCTGTGATGCAATTTTTCAGTTTTTTTGCGCAGTTGCAGTCTTCATTGATTTTAAACAAATTATTGCGCACGTTCCGTGTTCGTTGTATTTTTTTGTTATTATTGCGCACTTTCGTATTTGTGGTGAGTCCGTTTTTTACTAAAGTGCTGCGATGTTAAAAACACAAAAATTCGTAACAAAGAAACCAAAAGTGCGTTGGTCTTGGATCTTGGTCTTGGTACCAGCTTAGATGCGTTTTCCCTTTGTTGTTTTTTGTTTTTGTAGTGGTGGTTGGTTGGTTGTTGTTGCTGCTGCTGCCGTTTAACCTTTGTTGTTGCTGGTGTTGCTTGTTGCCTAAGCTGATGTGGTGGTGCAGATAGTTTGCCACTCTGTCCGCTCGCAGTGCCACCAAATGCTCAAATAACCACCGAGAACCGCGCGAACTCCGCCAACAGCCGTCCCAGTCGGTGGGGCTTCGTGTGCTCGTATTCGAGTCGTGTGCTCGTATTCGGATTCTGGCCTGTTTAGTGCTTTTGCTGTGTAGGTCGCTCGACATGCGCCCAGGAGCGGTTCAGCCGATTTCGGGCGCCCAGCCACCCTCACCGGTGTACACTAGTTGGGGCCAATGTACCCCTATTGGACTATATTCGATAAGTTCTCGTCTGACGTCTCACACAAAGTAGATACGTGGGTGAGGAGGCGGCGGTTCTGATCAGACAAGAACTTATCGTGTAATTTTGAAAAAGCTAAGAAAATAATAAAGGAAAATAACATAACATTTATTTCATAGCCTTCTTTTTGGCAGGGTTTACTATGGTTTTTAATATTTAGGAACTCTAAAATAATAATAATATTGATCACCTCTTAAACACGTTTTTTTAAATTGAATTTTTTTCAAAAAATACTTCTATCCTAAATATGTCGCCCCCAATTCGGGCGCCACACTTTTCCCGCCACCCATTCACCCATGTAAGCGATTTGACAGCGACCTTGCCGATAAAAATAAATAAACTGCTCAATTACGAAATTTTGTTTAAATAAAACTGGCGGCAGAACAGAAAATAATTTGTTTGGTTGCTCTCGCTTTTCGATCTTTGGTTGTGGGCTTTTGGGGTTTCTGGTGCAGGCCAGAGCATAAATAGAATATAAAAGAAGGGCAGCGGATTATTATTTTAAATAGTAGAACACACATTTACAATGACCTTGCCGCTTGCACTTGGCGGCGGCCCTAAAAAAACAGACGCCCCATTTGATGGATGTCCCAACTGACAGGCAGGCGCCCACCGCCCACCCGCGGCCACTGAGTGCGCCTCTGGCGAGCCGTGAGGAAAACCAGTTACAAGTCAATGGTCATGGCACAGTAGGCACTCGCTGAGAGTGACAGGTCACTAGCTGCTTTATTTTGATTGACGCCTACAATTGCAAGTGGGGCGGACAGAGCAGAAACATGCAAAAAATTAAGAAAATAAATGAATATAAATTTAGTGACGGCCTTGCAGGTCATAATGGACCGTTATATGACTCGCTTCGTATCAGTCGCTGGGGTTCCACTTTGCTTCGAAAGGTGCGCAATAGATCCGCGAGAGAGTTCAGCGTCGCTGTGGAAGGGGGGTTGGGAGTTGGGAGATGGGGAGAGCAACCCAGGGCAGAGAGCAGAGCGCGCGCCAATTTAGAAAGCTCTCGCGCACACAGCTGTGCTTTGTTGTGTTGCCAATGTGCTCTCTCTCTCTCTCTATTCTGGTGGAGCAACAACAAAAAATAACAAACACATATGTTTGCTTACTTTGAGGTGGGGGCTTTTGGGGCAAAAAAAACTACGCAGCATTTGGGCTGGAGCTTCGGCGACCACCAGCTGATTGTGTTTGGCTAGAAAAGCTCTGGCCCCAATAGCCCCCACCCCTGGCCCTCCCGGGGAGCTTTGGCGCCATGTGCAACGCTTGCCACCACAACAACAAACAAAGAGCCAAACAGATGGCAGCTCTTTGTCAGGTTGCTCCGCTGATTTTCCCATTTTCTCATTGTCGCTCGAGTACTCGGTCTTGTTTTTTGTGTTTTTGATATTTTTTGGGGGGGAAGTGGGGTCTTTATGATTTGATTTGCAACGAACACGCCATGGATCGAAGGTTTTGCTGAACAGTGAAGGTTCCATATAAAGAATAGTTTTCAAAATGTTTGGTTTAAAATAATAAAGAAAAATTCTGAATAAGAATTATTAATATTAGCTTGATTATTTTACGTTAGATTTTGAAAATATGTGTGGCTTTTCAGGGTTTAATGCAACGAAATGCAGGCCCGCCAATAAATGCCTCAAGATCAAAGCAAAACGAAAAATTCTTTTGAAAAAATTAAACTTTCGATAATCGGCAAGGTTTCAATAAGGCAGAACCTTGAGATGAGTATATCTATAGGCTATATCTTTGCGATTATGTATCTGATCCCAAAGCAGAATACCTAAACGGATTGGCAGATGGACTCTTCACCAATCTGCATCACAATCTGGGAGATCCCCTGCGAAAATTGGGAGCAACGTGGCAGGGGCACTATGGCCCACGGAGAAGGCTATATATTTGCCAATTCTTATCCGATCCCAGAACGGAGTACCTTTATCGATTTGTGGAAAGATTCTCCACCAATCTGCATCAAAATCTAGAAACAAAATATCTTTTAGATTTTTTGTCAAAATTTCCAGGGAGTTCCCTTCAAAAATGGGGAGTTGCATGGGAGGGTCACTTTGACGCACGGGGATGGCTATATCTTTGTCAATTCTTATCCGATCCCAGAACAGATTTTGATGCAGATTGGTGGAGAATCTTTCCATAAATCGATAAAGTACCTTTATCGATTTATGGAAATTTCAGATTTTTAAATATTTTTCAGATTTTTTGTTAAAATTTCCAGGGAGTCCCCTTCAAAAATGGGGAAATGCATGGGAGGGTCACTTTGACGCACGGGGATGGCTATATCTTTGTCAATTCTTATCCGATCCCATAGCGGAGTACCTTTATCGATTTGTGGAAGGATTCTCCATTAATCTGCATCAAAATCTAGAAACAAAATATTTTTTAGATTTTTTGTCGAAATTTCCAGGGAGTTCCCTTCAAAAATGGGGAGTTGCATGGGAGGGTCACTTTGACGCACGGGGATGGCTATATCTTTGTCAATTCTTATCCGATCCCATAGCGGAGTACCTTTATCGATTTGTGGAAGGATTCTCCATTAATCTGCATCAAAATCTAGAAACAAAATATTTTTTAGATTTTTTGTCAAAATTTCCAGGGAGTCCCCTTCAAAAATGGGGAATTGCATGGGAGGGGCACTATGGCTCACTGTGAAGGCTATATCTTTGCCAATTCTTATCCGATCCCATAGCGGAGTACCTTTATCGATTTGTGGAAAGATTCTCCACCAATCTGCATCAAAATCTAGAAACAAAATATTTTTTAGATTTTTTGTCGAAATTTCCAGGGAGTCCCCTTCAAAAATGGGGAGTTGCATGGGAGGGTCACTTGGACGCACGGGGATGGCTATATCTTTGTCAATTCTTATCCGATCCCATAGCGGAGTACCTTTATCGATTTGTGGAAGGATTCTCCACCAATCTGCATCAAAATCTAGAAACAAAATATTTTTTAGATTTTTTGTCAAAATTTCCAGGGAGTCCCCTTCAAAAATGGGGAGTTGCATGGGAGGGTCACTTGGACGCACGGGGATGGCTATATCTTTGTCAATTCTTATCCGATCCCATAGCGGAGTACCTTTATCGATTTGTGGAAAGATTCTCCACCAATCTGCATCAAAATCTAGAAACAAAATATTTGTTAGATTTTTTGTCGAAATTTCCAGGGAGTCCCCTTCAAAAATGGGGAGTTGCATGGGAGGGTCACTTGGACGCACGGGGATGGCTATATCTTTGTCAATTCTTATCCGATCCCATAGCGGAGTACCTTTATCGATTTGTGGAAAGATTCTCCACCAATCTGCATCAAAATCTAGAAACAAAATATTTTTTAGATTTTTTGTCAAAATTTCCAGGGAGTCCCCTTCAAAAATGGGGAGTTGCATGGGAGGGTCACTTTGACGCACGGGGATGGCTATATCTTTGTCAATTCTTATCCAATCCCATAGCGGAGTACCTTTATCGATTTGTGGAAAGATTCTCGCCCAATCTGCATCAAAATCTACAAACAAAATATTTTTTAGATTTTTTGTCAAAATTTCCAGGGAGTCCCCTTCAAAAATGGGGAGTTGCATGGGAGGGTCACTTGGACGCACGGGGATGGCTATATCTTTGTCAATTCTTATCCGATCCCATAGCGGAGTACCTTTATCGATTTGTGGAAAGATTCTCCACCAATCTGCATCAAAATCTAGAAACAAAATATTTTTTAGATTTTTTGTCAAAATTTCCAGGGAGTCCCCTTCAAAAATGGGGAGTTGCATGGGAGGGTCACTTTGACGCACGGGGATGGCTATATCTTTGTCAATTCTTATCCGATCCCAGAACGGATTACCTTTATCGATTTGTGGGAAGATTCTCCACCAATCTGCATCAAAATCTAGAGACAAAATATTTTTTAGATTTTTTGTCAAAATTTCCAGGAAGTCCCCTTCAAAAATGGGGAATTGCATGGAAGGGACACTTTGACCCACGGTGAAGGCTATATCTATCTTTTTTCTGGCCCAGTTTTTCACAATGGCTGTTCTGAAGATATATTCTTTGTCGGCTGTGAAGAACGCCTCTGTTCCGCTCCACTGAAGTCAATTCGCAAATATTTCACTCTGCACACAGCCATAAATATGAGTGATAGATAAAAGTGTTTGTACACACATCGTGCCGCGCACACACAGCTAATATTTTTGATTGACAGCTAGTTGCAAATTGGTCAATGTCTGAGCTGGGTTCAATCAGGGACTTGCCAATTTTTTCGCCTTTCATTCTTTGCGAATGCCCTTTGTGTGGGAAAATAGGCGCAACAGACCTTGGTATTGTTATTTGGGTGTTGGATTTATTTATTTATGGAATTTGAATGTCTAGAATCTAGATCATAACCATGTATAATATAAACTAAAAAGCCAACAGCGGGCAGATATATATTGAGCTAAAAATTTGCAAACAATTCGCAAGAGAGTGGACAATGTCCCGTTGACTATATCACTTTATGGGGCTCTTAACCCCAAAAGTCAATCACTTAAGTCGGCCCGAACCTGTCCCATTTAAAGATGCCCACTCGTGAGTGGTTGCATCTATCAAAGTCATCAATTATGTCCACTTGCCGCAGCCCCTCATCAGCTTTTTGAAGACCGAGACCCATCGAAGCACCTAGCCCCATCGAGTCTATATTTAACCAAAATCGTTGGGACTTTGGCGCTTAGACTTGTTGGCATTTTCACTCTGTTGTGTGCGATAATAGTTCAAAAAAATATAATTTTCTGTTATGGCTGTGGGCTTTTCGCGCCACCCGCCCGTCCTACCCGCCAGGGAAAGCAGAGTCGCAAATAAGTCATTTGTCAATAGAATTTTCATTTCACTTGACTGCTGCCCCTTGGCCTTGCCCCTGGCTTTCAAGAGGCCCGCCACGATGAGTCGGATCGGACACAATTAAGCTATTGCTGCATCAACATCATATATCATGTATCCGCATATCATCCAGAATTTATTATTTTCTGATCTATATGCGCATTGATTTGCCTTTATTGGAAGCTTTTCATGAAGATGGATGCGTTTGGTGGTAATTAGGAATTTTG